AGGAAAACTACAAAAAGGAATAAATAAAAAGAAAAACAGAAACTTGTCTGAAAAGACGCTCACAAATAAAACAATAAAAGCCGCACACACTCACCCACTGACAAGAAGAACAACAACAAGTTTATTACAGATTTTACTTATGTGTTTTTGGTTGCTTGGGTGGGCAGTGGGTGGGGTTCCAGGGGCATTCCCCGAGTGGTTGGACCCATTTTACCGCAGGGCATTAATAAGGAGCACAACATGGCGGCCAAAAGCGAGTGGAAGTCAATGACATGTGCTCCCAAGAAATCTCCCGCTGATGGGAATGACAAATCTCTCCTGATATCGTGTAGGCCTCATGTATTTTCAAGCAATCCCGAGGCTGTGTTAGTGCAAGGTCTCACTTATTTAAGTCCTTGATTTTCCGTCAAGGCAATGTTAAGCTTAAAAAAATAATTTACTGTTTTTGAATGCAAGCTATAATTAAAACATAGAATAATGATTATGTCTGAAAGACTCATAACTCTGCTTCACATTTATATTTATATTTTCATTTAGTTGTGTACTTTAATATAAATGTATTTATAAATGTATTTATAAATGAAAATTAAAATAACTTTGCGTGAGTCAAGCATGTAATCTTCTGGCTGGACCCATGTGAAACAACTTTAGTTATTACTTGTTCTCTTCAATTGGATTCGATTTCCTCCCCTCACTAAATAAAAGTTCCTCAAAAAAGCACTCTTAACTTTTCTGCGAAACAAGAGAAGAAACCAATTTTGGGGGCTGACTCTAAACACCTCAAGGTGGGCCTACACTAAATCTATACCCTACACCTCAACAGTTTGCTCTGTTTTTCGATATCGATAAGTTTTTTCTTCCACCCACTTTGTCTGCCAATATTTCAGTCAGTCGGGCCGACGAACTGATGCTGCTGCCAAATTGCCAGCTCGTTCAGTCTGACAGTCGAAAGCCAGAAATAAACTTTAATTTGAAAACTTTTATGCGCAGCAAATAAAAGCAAATCGATGGCTGAAAATCGACCAAGTGCCGTGGCAAATTGTTCGCCAAGTGTTGGACATTTTGCTTAAAGATGCCAGACCAAAAGCAGTTTAAGTCCCACATGCATATCCACGTGCCCGCACGTGCCTGACATTGACACAGATGCTAGGTTGCAGGGTTTTTGCAGGATAGCTGATTCGAGAATTTCCCGGTTGTACACTTAAATCAAAACTTACATAATAGTTTACTTAAGCCATTACATGTAAAAAGAAACTATAAAAATTTACAAAATGGTTTCCAACATCTAGTAAAGACTATAAACAAAAAACTGAGCTTGTCTAAATAATTAAAATCATTAGGGAAACCAATTAAATTAAATTAAAACTCTCAATATTTATTCCTTAAAATCATTTTGACTAAATGGCGATGATAAAAAATGACCCGAATTTTGTATGGACAGTGGTAATCATCTCCTTAAAACCTTTTTCAAGTGAAGTTGCCAAAACGGAAGATTTTTTTTTATAGTGTCCTACCGCACCAGCATCAAAAGCATGTCGCTCGCACAAGGCGAACTCTATGAAGCCAAGGGTAAAGCGGAAGTTTATTAAAACTACAGCAAACAAAAGGGCGCAAAGGGATAGGATGAGAAAAAATAGAGGGTAAATGCATTGAAAAAAGCGCTGGAAGTGCTCTTAAACAATAAACATGCCGTTCGTGCTGAGTAGAGAAGATCCGGGCACAAAAGACACCGCTCCGGCCAGCAGTAACATTTCCATACAAATAAAGCACAGAGCGCGATAGAGAAGTAAATGCAGCGCATTACGTATACGCCAGCGTGTCTGAAAAAGTGCAACCAGCCGCGACGGGCATAGATACAATTTTCTGTGTGTGTTTTGTTGCACCATTGAGCGCAGCACTGAAGCAAAAAGCAGCTGCAATAGCAAAAAAGCACCGACTCAAGCACTCAATGAAATGCAATGGAGCAATGGCACGGGAGGGCGGCCAAGTCCTTGCTGTCCTGGCCCCGTCAACTGCATTTGCATCCGTTGATAAAGTCATGTTGGGTTCGGAGATTCGGATTCGGGTTCGTGGCATCTAAATACGTTTAAAATAAATCACAGTCGTATGCTGCAGTTGGGGGAAAGAGCGGCAATGCGAAATCCAATTCCAGCTTTTGCAGCGAGTGCGCCTGGGATTTTATTTAAGCATCTGGATTTTTATTAAGCATCTTTTTATATCCTTCTTGAGGGTATACAAATATTGGTCAGATGTTTAAAATTTAGTACAAACTAAGAATAAACTTTAAAAAATATTGAAATACATTTAAATTAAAAATTAAGGCTTTAGTTTATTTTCTTATCTAAAAAATTAAAGGTAACACGTTAGGAGCTGTCCAAATATTACATCATCATAATATCGTTTATTACAGAAAACTTGTCAAAACTATCTTATGGAATTATTAAATGTTCTTATTTTGAATGGAAGGGAATAAAGGACTCAGCTCTTGAAAGTTTCTTTACTATCTAGTTTATACGCTGCATTTTTTTGCCTTTGCCAAAGTTTTGCTTCTGCTTTGTGCTCTCCTGTAGTTGCATTCTTGAATAATGTACTTGAGCAGAACTGCAAGTTATTTGCTTTGCACAGAGCATTTGATTAACTAACAAAAGCATGCACTAATATAAAGGAAACAAAGGGGATGAAGTCTGTCATATAAATATGCAATACACTTGCTGACAAATTTGTACAAGCAACCCTCGCTAATGTCTGATGATAAAATACAGCTCAGAAGTACGAGAAAAATATGGCACAGCAATTTGCAAATTATTTTCAAGCTGGCATAAAATAAACTGACAGGCATCTTTGGAACCCCGTCCCCCAAATAAAGAACACCACCCCCCGGGAAATGGTGGGATGCTTCAATCTTGTCCCCGCAAACAGACAGCTCACGTTGTTGCTGTTGTTGATGCTTCCCCTATTTGTTGTTGGTTTTTGAAATCGACTTTCATGTCAATTGACTTGCGTACATCTGCCTGCCTGAATATCTGGCTGAATGGGAAGTCTGGGATGTTACGTATTCGGGGGTGGAGTGGGTGGCTGAATGTCGCCAAACTTATGGCCCAAATTTTACTGTTATGTAAGCAAACGGCAGCAGATGAAATGAAACGCCTTCTCCTTGATGATATTTGTCAATAAATTTAACGTAAACCAGCCAGAGCCCTTCCCCGTATTTGTATTTGTACATAGCTACGAAACGTTGTATGTGGTTCAAAATTTTTGTGTGTAATGGCAAGGAAACCATCAACAGATAAAGCATATAAATTCCTACATTATTAAATTGGTATGTAAGTTAGGTTGTTAAATACCAGAAAACCATATATTTTTTAACTTAACATCCATGCTTTATCTGTCATTCAATACATTTATAACATAGAAAACAAGAAAGGAAAGCTAACTTCGGGCGGAGCCGAAGTTGATATACCCTTGCAGAATATTTTATAAATTATATTGTCCAAATTATTCTATGATGTATTCTTAATACTATAAAATGTCCCAACTTCCTAACTTTAAAAACACCAAAGTTATGTCATTTCCAATCGTTCAGTTATATGGCAGCTTAAGATATAGTCGGCCGATCCTTTGGTAGGTCGGATTGATTGGCCAAAAATAAAACCCATAGAAAATCCCATAACTTTAAAAACAAAGCTATGGCTTTATATAGGGGAGGAAAAGTTCATCATTTAATTTGGTAGGTCGGATTTTAGCCAAATAAAACCCATGAAATCCCAACTTCTACTTTAAAACACCAGTTTGGCTTTTCCGATCGTTCAGTTTATGGCGCTATATGATATGGGTCCGCTCGTCCGACTTATATACTACCTGCAATAAGACACTTTTGGGAAGTTTCGCAGAAGCTTTAAACTGAGGGACTATTTAGAAACGGACGGACAACGACAGACGGACGGACAGACGGCTTTCTCTTCTGTTGTGATCGTTTTACTTTTAGGGTCATGTCTCCTTCCTCTTCAAACTTTTACTGAAATTATAATCCCTCTGAGTAAAAAATTATATTACATGATGATAAATTGATAATTTTAAATTGATCTTATTTTTTGGGTGTAGGTAAAGTAAAACATTTTAATTAGTATTTATAAATTTTAAATTTCTTCAAAAAGTAACTTCTACATAAATTTAAAATCAACTTAACAAATGTCCTGCATTATCTTAAGAAATATAGGCCCTGAGCCAAAACATTAGCTGTTTGAGATTCCATGTTATGATAAGCACTTATAAACTTTTTATTGGTAATTTTCCAATCGCCACTGAAGCCATCCATCAATGCACTGCAATCTTCCGAAACCGGTTAATATACCTCGCTGTTGGGTTATCAAAATGCCATGCTCGACTTTAAGTAGACATTGACAAATTAATTTGCCAGAATTGGGTTGTCCGAGACCGAAAAAAGAACGCCGAAATACACTTGGGAGGGAAGGCAAGAAAGCATACATTCGAGCGTCATTAGGCCGGCAATGAGTAAATCAAATTTGCGTCGTTTTGGGGCCAGCTGCTGTGGGTTGTCAGTTGACAGTTGGGTTGCTCAGTGGCCTTCCTGTCGCTTGTCTACGGCGGAAATGAAATGACCCAGTTAAATGATTTATGGCAAACACACACACACACACAGACCCACACGACGGTCGGCTGGGGTTTATTACCGGGGCTTAGTGGCAAACGGCTGACAGAATTGGCGAATATCCCATCCAGTTTGTATCCTTAAAACCGTGGCGTGTTGAAATTATAATTTCATTAGCTGCAATCAACATAAAAATAACACTGAAGGCAACTGCCAAAGCGCTCTGAAGTCGTAAAGCCAAAGTAGAAATTAAAATGCGATGAAAGGAAAGCAGGGGGAAAAATGTTTAAAAGCAAGTTTTACCTTTGCCACCTTTTGCATTCACACAACAACAACAAAGGCCAGCGAACAAGAGCGTAATTACAAGCAATTTTTTTACGTTTTATTACAGATTTTAAGCACGCGACGACAACGACGCCAGGGGAGCACTTGGCATTGTAATGTGACAACAGTTGGCTAAAAACAACAGGACCAAAACATCGGCATCAGGAGTAGCAGGAATGCTCGCTTTTTAATTGACATTTGCTCGAGTTGAGTTGCGTTTTGTTTAACAGCAATTAGCATCACGAAAATAGCAGAAAGAAAAAAACAAAAAAAAAGAAAACACAAAGGAGCGCAATTAAAATTGTAAAACAATTGCAGGACGTTGAATTGAAAAAGGGGGAACAATAACAGACGACCCGGAATAGAATGATCAAGTTGATTTAATTAAAAATTCAGCATCTGTGTGCAATGGAATTCGAGCACGCAGCTTGAGCAATGGCCGCCGGACCGGAAACGCAGCCATTGCCCTCGGGCAACATCCGCCTCTGACTGCCGCCGACACTTGTCACATGTTTGGCCAAAAAGGCGCGCACGTGACGCCCCAGCGAAGCCGATGAACGAACGGATGAACGAGGAAATGAATGAGCCAGCAGCCATATTCAAAATTGAACGTTAAACGTTCGCACGTACCGAGCATAAATTCCAAGTGAAATAAAAGCCAGCAAAAAAAAAAAGCACAGCCGTAGACCTTCCAATTTAAACCAGGAAAATAGAAGAGAGCGGAAAGTGGGGCGCAAAATGGTGAAAATCGTGAGCGAACGCTGTGATCTAGGCCTGGCCCTTTTCCTGGCCTGGACATGGCTAACAAGGCTGGTGGTTGCGGCCCAACTGGCCGAAGTCCCCAACCCATCCCGCCTGGCCGCCGAGAGGGAGGAGCAGCAGTTATCCCTCCAGGATGTCGGTGGCCTCAGCTACCAGAGCATCCACCGAATGTTGAGGGACGAAAACGAACCGGCCAGCTTTCGGGGGGAGTTACGTTACCAACAGAAACGTCACAAACGGGAGCTGGAGTTAAATGCTCCGGCGAATAAGCTCAACCTCACACACCGCGACTTGAGGACATTTAACAGCAGTGGTGGCCAGTGGAAGGGCGACTTCCAGGTGATCACCGCCATGGATCTGAGCAGCAATCAATTGAGCAGTCTGAGCTTGGACCACTTCAATCAGCTGAGGCAGCTGGATGTGGGCAATAATTCCTTGGCGCTTATACCGCTGAGTTTAGCCGATACCAACCACTCACTTCCCCTCGTGACGCTCGATCTTTCCTGCAATCGATTCAGACAGATTTCCACCAGCTTCTTTGCCCAGCGTCTGCCTCAACTAAAAAATCTTAACTTGGCTCACAATCAATTGCTAAACATTTCCCGGGAATCCTTCTACAGTTTGCTTGAACTGCAAACACTGATTCTCAGTCACAACAACATCTCGGATATCGACTACGAAACCTTTCTGGCTCTTCCGAATCTGCAGCACCTGGATCTATCCTATAACCGCTTAAGTGGTTCTGCGATTCGAGCTCTGCAGGGAATTCCGGACCTCGTCAGCCTTTCCATCGCCTACAATCCGGAAGTGGGCGTTGCGATGCAGGAGTTTGTGGCATCCTGGAGCCTCAAGGAGTTGGATGCCAGCGGCACTGGGTTGTGCCAGGTTCCAGCGGCTCTAGCGCAATCGGTTAGGACCCTCAAGTTGTCCGACAACTGGCTGAAGGTAAGTTTCAAACGTTATTCGAATTAGAAAACTAGAACACGGTTTTCAATTCTTTACTTTATACTTTTAAACTGGTTATATTTAATTTGTAATTTATATTCCTTACATTTTTGGTTGGCAATCTAATATAAAATTAAAGAATACTACTTACATAACCAGGTATAATTTAAAAAAGTAAACAAAAAATAAATGATCTTGGATTTAACTCTTGACAACTTCGAATTGAATTCCTGCTGCACCTTAAGAATAATGGAATTTTCGTTATGAACATTCAAAACCACAGAAAACTATGTAATTTTAAATGAAATCGATATTCACACAGGATATTAATTGTTCAATGTTTTCACGTAGGATATTTATTGTTCAATTTTTTTTTATTTATTACGTGCAAACTTAATGCAGTAATGGAATAAGTCCCCATATAATGACGTTTAGAAAGGTGGGACAAACTGTGAAGGGCAACTCCATGCTTTGATCGATAAATTACGGACTCGACTACCCGAGTCGTGCAAGCCAATGAACCGCAATTCGACGCATTTGCCGGCAATTAACGGCACATTCCCTACAGACACTTGCCATCTTTGTCCTTGGCTTCAGAATCAGATTCAGATCCTGTCTCCATTTCCCTGCATCCTGCAGTCTCTCCATTATGGAAGCTCCCTTTGCCACAGCCGCCATTAATTAGCATCTGTTATGTGGCCTGTGCTCCACTGCGTGCTTGAGTGCGTTTTCCGGGTCCCCTCGAATTTTCCCCGGCCCCCTGTTTCCACATTTTCCACCCACCCACCAACGGAGCAACCACAGGGCAATCTCACCACGCGTATGATTTACACTTTGTTATTTTTAAATTTCGCCCCCGCCATTTTCTGCGGCTCTCTTTTGCTTCCGCTTTCGGTGCGGAAGAAGGAAGAAAAAGCAAATGAGGAAGGCTGGAAAATTTTATGTGGTGTTAATTTTAGCATTGGGAGCCATTACATAAAAACAGGAAATTTATATTATTGATTCTTTCGATCCAACAGTTTAGTTTTCTGTTACACAATTTTTTACAATTATTAAAATGGCTATGTTGATTTTAATTATTCATATTGTTATTTAAATAGATTACTTTTTCAATTAGTTATGCATAGAGAGCATGCATTGAATTATGTTTTTTAGATGGCTTGGGTAATGTGAATTATTTATTTATATTAAAAGAAAAGGTTATCTACTTTTTGGTGCATTCAAGGTCTATTTGTTTGCATGTATTGGATACAAAAACTAAATTAAGGTAAAAATGGTATTTTATTATTAAATATGCGATTAACTTTTGAAAATAATCAAAAAACTAATATATCAATGCTTTTCTTTTAATTTTTTGACATTTTCAAGAAAAACCCCCGTTGTAAAGTAATATAAATAAAATAGGATATTATAGCTAATAATCTCCAACGAATAATCCAATTTAGAATAAGAACAAGGCTAGAAAAGTATTTTCCTTGAGTGGCAGTTGCAGGCATTGTTAAGCTGTTAGTCCGGCTAAGAGGACACGCCACTCAAGTCCAGTTAAGAACGTAATTAAGACACAATGTGGCCACACAATGGAATAGCAAAGTGCACTTCTCACTTTTCAACAAATGCGAGTGGAAAACAAAGGAAAATAATAGAATGGGCGCTCAAGTCTTAATAAGAAAGCAGAAGCAATAAGAAAGGGAGGTGGAGGGCACCGGACAGCAAAAATATAGAATAGGGGAGCCACAAGGCCTGTGTGAGCTTGATTGACATAAGCAGCAACACGAGCTGCAGATTAGCCTTCCTCCTCAAATTGCCAACACTTATAGGACACACAAAAAGCAGCAGCAAATAGATTTATAAGGGCACAAAAATAGACAATCCCGGTTGCATTATGGGCACAAAGCGCCGCAGGTCCGCAGGCTTCGTTTCGCCCAGGTATTATCCTTAAACGGCTTCAAGTGTAGACAAACAAATCCGGCGCATAAATTGAGGCTGCCGCCTTTGTCGCTATGTCGATTATGGCGGAAGCCATAAAAGGTGCAAAAATACCGCTTCGTAAGCTGTTTAGGGCCAGAGACAAAGGCTCCCAACCAGGAGCAGGAGCCAAAGCTTCAGCCTGGGCCTGGGCATTAATAAAATAAGGATAATTGGCATAAGCATAATCACGTTTAAGCCAACAGCCAACGTGCAGCTGAGACGGCTGAGACAGGACCGGGAATTAGAAGTACACTTGAAAGAACCTATTTTTAATTCGTCCTTTTTAAGGGGCTTTCTGTGATTTATAGAATTTGCATTCATTGATGAAAATATAGGTTCTTTTTCAACTAAAGTAAATTTAATTACATTTTTCTAAGAGCGTTCGAATTTAAATGTAATGTAGAGCCTTATTCTCAATTTATTCTAACCCATATTTATATTATTATTATACCCTTGCAGAGGGTATTATAATTTTGGTCAAAAGGGGAAAAAGAAAGGAAAGCACCCGCCCTATAAGTATATATATTCTTGATCGGATCCTTGATATAGCTGTCCGTCTGTCCGTCTGTCCGTCTTCCGTTGTCCTCTGTCTCCGTTGTCTTTTTACGAACTAGTCTCTGTTTAAGATATCACAACTTTGCACACCCTTCTTTCCTTTCGCATATATGTCGGAACGGCCGATCCGACTATTTAAGCTGCCTATAACTGATTAATCGAATGCCATAACTCTGCTGTTTGTTAAGTTAGGAAGTTGGGACTCTTGGGTTTTATTTGAATCAATACGACGTACCAATTTTAGATCGCCATATATCCTTGCTGTATTAACATTGGAAATTTTTTTAAATATTTTAATTATTTTAGTGAACTAACGATACACTTGGGATAGAAATAATAATAATTTGTTAATTATCAATTTGTTTTGCATTTAACTTAATATTTTTACACTATCTTTACCAAAAATCTGTAATATTTAAAAAACATTATGTATTTTTGAACATCCCAAACACTATTTGCATTAAAATTCCCCTTAAAATAGATATGACTTATTTTTTGATATCTTAAAATAATTTTTTTTTATTTCGCTATTTTTCTCAAGGTTTTTTTTTTGGTGTACTAGCCAACTATCTGTGCAGTCGCTTCTGCTGCTCCTGCTTTCCTGGAGTGGCTCGTCACTGCTCCCGGGTGCCTTTGTTGCCAAGCCATTTTAATTTGTTCGCCGGCCCAGGCCGACTGCCTTTTGCCACCGCCTTTATCGGCAGTCAACACGCAGCCTTTTCATGGCAAATTATGGCGTTTAGGGGCCGCTGGTTGCCCATCCTGAGCCCCCAAGCCTCCCCCCGATGTATAGTAGTATCATACTTTCATTTCTTCAGAGCCCCGGGACAGAGACGACGGCAGGCTGTCTGGCTTCCTGGTTGCCTGGCACTCGTTTCATTTAACGAGTCGCGTCTATGTTTACTTTGGTGCCAGACGAGCATTGCTCCAGGCATCGCTGGGATTGCAAAAGGGGCAAGTTCGCTACGAGTCCTTTGAAGTAATTATAATGGCAGATTTAAGTTAATTTTTAAACAATGTCGCTGGGACATGCATCTCGCACTTTCCCTCTTTGTCAGCCACTAATCAAATTTCCCCAGACTTTTGCTCAGAGCAATAACTTCTTGAGTGCTCACAAAGTCAGTGGCTAGACTGGGATTAAATCATAAAAGTTTTCGTAACCCTTTATGGTCAAACTTCGTAAATTCGATAGAATAATAGCACATGTTGGATTAACAAAAGGATATATTTTTTAAACAAATATTTCTACCGATAAAAAAGTTTAATCTTTTCAACATTAAAAGCATTTTTGTGTAACCAAATATTGTTTTAAATTTGCATACACCAGTACGCAAATGATAATTTTTTTTTAAATTCATATTAACTCTTAAACATCAAGAAATATTTAGAACTAAAAGAGTACTACATCCAATTCACAGGCCATCAATTGCGGCGACATGGACAGCTATCCACTTCTGCAGTACCTGGACCTCTCGCAATCCCGCATTGCCCAAGTGGAGGACGATGCCCTGGGGCGATTGGAGCTCCTCGAATCCCTTTTCCTGGATCACAATCTCCTTGTGCGAGTGCCCAGCAGTCTGCCACCGTCGCTGGAACACCTGTTCCTGCAGCACAATCAGATAATGGAGCTGCCGCCGCAGGCCTTTGTGGGCCTGGTCAATCTGCAGACCCTGGACTTATCCGGCAATCGTTTGATCTTTCTGCCTGCCTTTTCGCTGCCCAAGCTGCTCACCCTGAATCTGCAATCGTCCGGTGTGGAGAGCGTTAGCCAATCGATAGTGCACACACTGCCACAGTTGAGGGATCTTCTTCTGGAGGACAACCCCATAAAATGCAGTGATTTGCTGGCCATTGCCGAGTGGGCCAGTCCTTGCAGGTCAGTGGATGTGGGTCAGTCGAATGGAAGGACTGCGAGTGGGCAGGTGGATCTGAAGACGGAGTATCTGCAGTTCCACGACTTTTATGAGAACTTTAGCAGCCGTGAGTGCGGCGAAAGGAAGCCGGAAAATGACACAAAGCCGCCCTCTTGCAGCCTAACAAGTGCAATGGCAACATTAGTGGCAACACCGAAAACTATGTCAAAAGTTAAAAAGTCAAAGGGAGCAGACCTGGCAGCAACATCAGCAGAAGCAGCAGCATCAGCAAAAATTTCAGCCGCACATCCAGCAGAAGCACAGACAGCAGCAGCAGGGACAACTACAGTCGCAACATCAGCAGAAATATCAGCAAGCCCACCAGGAACACCAGCAGTCCAACAGCAACAACAGCAACACCAGCGGAACCAACAGCAACACCAACATCCCCAGCAGCAGCAATGCAATCAGCTGGCAACAGCGTTGCCCAGTTAACCACAAAAACTTTGCGGCCAACAGAAACAACTTCGTTAGAGCAACTGCAGCAGCGGCAACAAATGCCTGGCATGCCGGCCAAAACAACAGCAATGCCAGCAAAGAACCTGCCAAGTTTGGCCCAGACAAAGGCAACAACAGAGGTTCCCATTTTGGCAACGCCAGCAGCAACAACACCAATAAATTCCAACAAGCCAACAACCGGGCCAGCGAACATTAGCGGTACCACAAAAACAGCAGCAACATCAGCTGCTGAAATTGCAGAAGCACCAACAGCAGCAATTGAAGTGCCACAAACAATTTTGGGTGGTAAAAAATCTGACAAAATGCCAGAAGATAAAACCCAGGAGACTTTATTAAAATACCCAAAAAGCGACACATCCGGTCAAGTAGCAACACCGCCGCACAAACATGCAACATTGCAGCTGCATGTTAAGGATCGCCATCTAATTGGCACACCGCTGCTGATGCACAAGGGCGATGTCCTTTTGGTGGATGCCGAGCAGTTGTTGCTGCCGGGGACGGCCACCGTGGCGGATGCGGAAGTTCTGGACGCCAGCCAACATCAGCTGGCGGAGCAGGAAAAGCACCAGTCAGCGGCTGATAAGCGACAAGCGGAAGCAATAAACGGCGACGCAAAGACGCCGCCAAAAAGCCACAAAAAGAAGCCGTCGCTGAGCATCAAGAAGATGACCTATAGCACCAAACATGCGGTAAAAACAGCAGTTGAAGAACTGGCAGCCACATCAAAGACACCGCAACACCAACACAGCAGCGTGAACACACCCAAAGAGGCGACTCCAGAGGAGCTCAGCACTTTTGCCCAGCTAAAAGCCTATGTGGAGCTGAAAAGCGAATCGAAACCGGAACATCTAATGGACCAGCGGGAGGAAAACCTCCGCAATCTTTCGGGAAATCACCCGGGCGTTATGTTGCTTGTGGCCTGCGTGTTGTTCATCGTATTGCTGGCTGGTTTGGCCCATGTCTATCGCTGCGAATTGCCCTGGCAGAGAAGCAATCGATCCGGACAGTTGCGACCCCATCATCAGAGGCACCTCAACGAAACCGATGATGTGCATAGCTTCCTGCACTATCAGGGATCCGTGAGTTCCGCGGGAGATCCTGCCCGCCTCCAAAAGTGGCACCACAGCACCCGGAGAGAAGCTCCCTACAGCTCCCCCCTGCACAACCTACAAGCTCGCGAGCTGCAACAGCAACGCTGCCAGCAATTCTACAGCTCCTCGCTGGCGGACAAGAGCTCCTCCACGACATCCTCCTCATCGGGCAGCAGCCGCAGTAGCCTGCACTCTCCCAGCAGGGACGACAGCTACTACATAGAGATGGCTCCAAGCAGTCCGCCCGCCACCCTGCCCAGTTTGCCCATGGAACTGTTGGGCAGCAGGAGTAACGGAGCTATCGGATGCCGGGCGGACCGAGTGGCCGCCACCGACCTGGGCGGTACGACAGCAGCGGAACCTTCCTCGGCGGCATCCATTAAGTCTGTGAGCAGCAGACTGATGGCCCCCAGTTCGCGGAGGCTGGGCATCTGGTGACAAACCGTCTTCGGCCAGCGACAATATGCGCCCTTTCAGTAGAGTAATAAAGTAAGTGTGAATGGAGTCCGACCGACAATCGTCAATCTGCCAACTAAATCAAACGAGTAAGAAAGATACAGATAGAGAGAAAGTATAGACAGGTCAAATATCCATACTTAACTAGTTTTCATTCAATTTGCTAAAAAGTTAAACAATTTCATGGTTTTTCCCTTTCAAAATATTTAGTATTCAATATATAATTGTTCGCCGAAATTAAAACCTAAAATGGGTCATGAAAAGGGTTCCACAAAGATTAAAAAATTCATTATTCTACATTCAAAAATTGACTTGTTTGTGGCAATAATAATTAATTGACTAGATGTATAAAAAAAAAAATAACCCCATTTAAAAATATTTCAGGTTACAAAGATTCAAAGTTAAACTCCCAAGAGAATAAAACTGGAAGCGCAGTTGTAAAAAAGAAATATAAATGCCAGCAGAAGCATTATATATATTACTTTGAGTTGGCTTCTGGCTTGATTTATGATGCCTTGGTGCCCACACGTTGCAGGCCTCTTAGCGATTCGGTTAGCAGCAACAATTTGTCATAAATTCCTGTTACGTATACGCCGCATGTAACCGGGCAACGGCGGCAAGGCAACGAGCGTAGACAAGCGGCCAAGCCAAATAGCCAACGCCAGCAAAGTTTTACGAGCCATCCGAAGTCGATGCCCATCTTGTGGTCGTCTTTGGGTCAGTTTACTGGCCAAGAGCACCGTGTGCGGGCCAGTTAACTTTATATAAGTGCCTGTCCGTTTGCCAAGATTAAGTGTTTTGATAGTCATGCATATAAAAATGAAATATCGATCAAGTATTAAATAACAATTTAGTTTATGACAGCCCCAATTCAGTAATCAGAAGTTGTAGCGGCAGATGCTGAGCAAGGCGGATAAATCGAAGAAAATTGGTTGAAAGTTAATTCAATATGGGAGATAATTCAGAACAGGGAAGTAATTTCTTACAAATTGGTAATTATCTGTGACAAACCAAAAGGCCATTGGGGTTATTTTATTATTATTATTTTTTAGTATCCTATACTTATGAAAGGAATTTGTATTGATATATGGTACTTACTTGTTTTCATTGTAAGCAAGAACAGTTTTAAAACTAATTAGAGGATTTTCCTAAATTTTTTAGTAAACAATTTTATATCAAATGCTCTCAGAAGATCAACTTTTTTATCATGTTTTCTGAGTGCGTCACTTTCCTGTTCCCAACTTTCAAGCCTTTTCCGACTTGCCTTTATTATCCTTTAAGCCTTTCTGTTCAACCATGTTCAATGCTTGACTAGATCTTAACCTACTTTGCCAGCTGCTTCAGATTCCAGAGTTTAAATTGCAATCTAATTAAAGTTTCTTCTCTGTCCCTTCGACAATTTCCACCCATCCCCTGAATGGCAGAAGTGTTTGCTATCTGCGCTGGCATCTAGCATTCTTCACCCCATTCAAAGATGCTGGGGCAGCAGGACCAAAACACCCTCCTTCAGAATCAGCCCGCACTTAACCTCATTTTACAAATTGACCAACACAACATATGGTGTAAATCCAGCCAAATGGCCAGACATCTAATCCGCCACGCCAAAAGTGAAATGTTGTAAAACTATTTGGGGGCTATACGAACATGTATCTAACGGACATCAAAATAATGTGGCAGCAAATCAAATTACAAGACACGCGGCTGGCTCTTCGAGGGTGGAAAATGGTAAAGGGAATGGCCAAAGGAACGGCGGTCGAACATAGAACACAACAATTACATTAAGACACGATAAAAAGTTGTGCAACAATCTTGCAACCCCAACCACTGAACTAAACCAAACTAAACTGAACTGAAGATGCCACCACCTCATCCGAAGGACGAACCACAGTCATTGCACAGCTTTTTCAACTTTTTGTGGCTTTGTAATTCGAATACAAGAAGAAGGCGCGTGCTCTCAAGCGGCGACGACAGCAACAGGAAACAGTCGGAGAAAGTGAAACAGAGAGCTAGATTCGGGTTAGAAAGCACTCAGAGAAATAATGGAGACTTATGGACTTTAATATGGTCACTGGATAAACAGTTAAATCACATTCAAACTTGAAGTCTTCGGGTCTTAACCAAAATGTTGTTCAGAGAGGCAATTTAAATAGATTTTTCATTATTTTCAAATATTTTTTTTTGTTTTTAAGCTTTTAATGACATAAAATATAGAATTCAGCAAGATTAAGTCATGTCTGCCAATTGGGGCGTTCTGCACATACATATTCTTCGTCACTTGTTCGAGAGAAAACTAAACAATTAATTTTAACTACGAATTTCAATATAATTTTGTGCAAGTGCAGATAGATAAAACTTTGTGGGAAAGGGGATTGGGTGGCGTTCAAGCAAAGTCCGCTTAAGCAATTCAGAAGGATTTATTTTCGGCCACAAAAGCGAAATGCCCGACAAAGCGCTCCGAACAACAATTAAAGTAATGCTGACCAACAACCCACGCCCGACTGGGTGGGATTAGATGGCAGGCGGGGGGTCCTTCGGTCCAGTCGAGTGGCGTCCGATGCCAGGACGAACAAAATCTTAATTAAGGAACTTCCAAGTGGGCAAGTGTCGAACGGCAGTGGGAGGCATTTTTTGAGAGATTCGCTGGGCAACCTTTTTATTTTTGGCCTGCCAGCACAGCACAAAATCGCTACAAAGGAAACCCTACGGCTGAGTGTGGGACTTGAGTGACCCAGAGTCCGGTCGGACTTGATACTGGAGCATTGTCAAGTTAAATGAAGGTTTCCTTTTAGGACTTTTTGCTTATGACACTGGCCAGCTGGCCAAGATTTAGGAAGTTTTCCAGCCCGACGCGGAGCAGCGGAGGGCCAACTGAAATGAGTTAATTCGATATTTGACACTTTCGGAGCTCGCATTCCACACAATCTCGGTATGTGATGGGATCCAGACCCCGGGCTTTTGTCTCCCTGCGCAGTTAATAAAGTTGGTCCGGACCAGGACGTAATTATTTGCCTGCTAAATGGCTTTCGGACGACATTTCGGGGTCGTAAATGGGGGCGATTTAGAAAATTATGTGAAAATAAGTTGCCTTTTGTTTGGCCATTGGCCGTTGGCAGTTGGCGGTTGTTGGGATCGTAAATAACGTTCATAATTGGGCAGCCTCGAAAAGTTGTCGGCAGCAGGGGCAAAGGCAAACAGAACTCGAAATAAACATCTCGGCCGTATGGATAGCAAACAATAATTAAACTTAATTGCCCTGTACATTGAAACGTCAAACTGTAAATTATAGTTATTAACATTTACTTGTAGCGAAGTTTACTTGAACTAGCATTTTAATTCCGAATATTGCATGTACAATTTCCATAGAATATGTATTTAAAATTTACCAAAACAAAAAGATTAAAAGTAAAATAGAACAAAGCGGCAGCCAGGAAAAGCCGTTCGAGTAACGTTAATATTTGCATTTAATTTGTCGAAAATCAAACTAAAATGCGATAAAAACCCACAATAACAACAAAAACTAATTGCCAAATATTTGACGTACAGTTTGTAGCGTTAGCCATTAAAACCTTTGTATGTACGGTTACAGATACATCTATACAAACAGAAACAAAGAAATGACAAAAAAAAAAAGAAATACATTCTAGCGTAAAGCCGAGCAAATAATTATTAAACAAATACTTCTATTTACAAAAACACAACAAATATTTAGTTAAGCCAAAATGACGCGCAGCATTTTAATTAAACAACGGAAAATCGAGAGCTCTCAAAAACAGAAGCGAAATACAAAAATTGCAAAAAGTAAAGGTAAACAATAGTTGCAGCATAATTTTCCATGTGTTATTGTAAATAGACAACCAAAACTAATTGTGAACATATAGAAAAAAGCTGGGCAGACCAGCTGACAAACAAAGAGCATTCAAAATAAAATATCTGATGGAAGAGAAGTTCCATATATATACATATACATTAATGTTAGATTTAGTGCTGCCAAAATCGTAGCGTAAAGGGTTGATAAAGCAAAATAAAGTATATATGTATGAAGATTAAATATAACACTAGTATTAAGTGAAATGTATTATTGATTTAGCAAATATTGATAGCAATTAAAAGTGTAAAGATAACATGGCAAACATTTTATGAAATCTTCTCGAAAAACAACACAATTTTAATGCAAGCAACAACCCGAAAAAATGTGAAAATAATAAAATTGAGAAATTTAATTTGAAAGAGTAAAATCCGCATGGCATCACTGGCATTTTCATTTGGTCCTGGGATTAAATTAACATACGATATGCTTTATGGTATGGGCAGAATGGAAAATGATCCTTTGCGTTCCTTGTGCAACGAAAGAGAATATCAATTAAGTGAAAGGAAAGACAACGACATGCTCAGAGAAATTGAGAATGGAAAATGTCGAATCAATAACGTCGAATTAATTTCATGGAATTTAAACCACCCCATATGGAAATCAATTGCCTTCAGAGCTCGGAGCCAACTTGAAATGAAACTTATACCCAATTATTATTTTAATAATTTATTAAAGTTCACCCGGTAACCATTTCTTTTATTTAATTGTTTTTTTCTACGGACATAAGTGTTACTTTTCCACTATAATTATTAAATACATTAGACGAGAATATCAAGATGTGATATACAAAAACATCCAAGGCTACCTTAAAGTGAAACACACAAAAATGTATACATTCAAGATTAAGGAAAGTCAAGATTAAACCAGCCGAACAGGGCAATAAAAATAAACGTTAAATTAGTGACACATGCGACAGTTAAGCTCGACATAAATGTGAATGAAGCCACGGCTAAATTATGCCAATACACACACCCCAGACCACCAGAAAAATTCCCGGGAGGAGGTCAAATGGTCAGGACCGAACAAAACGGGGGACATTTTTATTTCAAATCCAATTATTTCACATCGAAACTGCAATCAAATGATTGCGTTCAGCAACAGGAAGCGTTCACATGTACATAAATACATGGTGAATGTTTGTGTGTGTGTGTGGGTTTGCGTGTGTGTTGGTGGACAAACGACGCTGTGAAAATGGCCGACAAAATGAAAGTCAATTGGTTTTCTTGTTTTTTTTTCTTCTGTTTTCATCTTTTTGTTCTCTTGCCCTTTGGTGGCGTTTTTGTTTCTTTCGATATATATGTCGTTAGTATCGGGGAAAAAGGAAGAAAAAAAAGGAAAACTGTCGCCACATTGGGGAACTCGGCGCACATGTCAAGAAATTGTTATGCGCCCTTGGACATTCATTCGTATGGGCGGGAATTAAATATTCAATATTGCATCGGCACAAGCCCCCGACATTCAATAACGTCGAAATTCCTTCATGCGGTCGTGTAGAAATGCGTGCCCAATAAAAAGGTTAATGGTAAAATAATAAAAATATAACGAAATTTGTGACATGCGGCGACAGTTTGATGAGGAAATGCCATTTCGTATCAAATTTTTTGCTCCACTTTTTGAAAGGTCCAAAGGTGAAAGGCAGTGGGAAATTTGATCAGACTGGTTGGCAATCTACTTTTTGACATTTCCCTTGCTGGATCATAAGTGCTCTGTCAGCAGCTAATGCAGTTGACATTTGACTTCACAAAGTGTAGGCCAGATGGATATTATCTCTAGTTAACCCAAATAAGCGCTGAGCAGTGAAAAAAGCTGTGGTTTGAGAAACTATTTAACCACTCGAACCATACAAAAAATATCTTGATTTTTTATTAATGTCAACTTAATTTTTATATAGCTGTGGATACCTTTAATTATATAATTGATATTAAATGATATTTACTATGTTAAAAACAGTAAATTTAGGTGTCATTAAATACATGACATAAATATGTACCTTTCCGTTTCATATTTTCCTTTCTTCTTATCAACGTAAAACTTGAAAATAAAACAAAACCTATAGCCTGAATAATATTGTTTTCCTTACCTCACAACATTAAAAATTATACTTACGCATTACTTTGAAACAAGTTACATTTAACAAATTTAATAAGCACATTTTCCAATGTTCTAGATTTTCCCCTCATGAGTAAAAGAAAATAAAGCGAAATGGAATAATTGCCTTGGCAGCCATTGAACTGTTAATTTTTATGCAATTTACTGCAGCGACTGCCCAAACCAGAGTGAAAAATGTTTGACTTTGTTTATGCAAGCGTGCGTGTGCATGTTTTTGTATATGTAAGAGAGCACAGCTGGGGGAAAACTTTATCTAATTGATTTTGGAGCAGTGCAGCCAAATGCTGCTCCATTAGCGTCGCTCATGCCGAACATAAAAAACGGAAGCCAAACTAACGTGTTTTTTTTTCCATTCTCTTTTTATATATGTATAAATATGCGAAAAATTCTGCGGGTTCTTGATGTGCTTTGGAGCCCATACACATACACCCAGATAGCCATTCGCAGAGGGGGTGGCACTGGCAACTTTAAATTGCATTCATTTTTAATGCAGCGCCGCCAAAAAGCACGGCCACATTACGTATACGCAACGTAGTGCACTCTAGGGACACATTGCTTAATTTCAGCCCCCGCCCCGACCATCATCCGCCCAAATGCGTGCAGGGAGAAGGGAGCAGAGAACAGAGATCCTGGTGGTGTCGCAGCCATGTGTGACCCTCTCAGGACATCCAGGACACCGCTACACACTGTCGCACTCACGAATGTCGAATGTAAAAAAAGGCGAGCTGGCATTATACAATAAACCCAGAGTTTTTATACACTTGATGCGGGTATTTTCAACATTAATTTATATCCTGTTTTTTTAATTGTTCAAAATAAATATTCCATCCATATACAAATATTTATGGATTAAGATTTAAATAGATTGAAACTTGTTTGAAAATAATAACTTGTAATTAAAAACTTTTTTTTACGAAGTTACTTTTGTACAAGTAAACGAATATTTAAAGATATTAACATCATTGTAATTTAAATCAAATAATATTAATATTCAGAAAACAAAATTCCCGAAACAAATATTTAACAGATTTAATTTTATATTACGAATTTTTCACAATTTAAAAATTGCTGAAACCAGTCAATCAGGTTTTATAGAAAATAATTAGTCTTAAATTTAAAAGTGATATTTCTTGGTGGCTTCTATGTGGTTAAATCAAAACATTTAAATTAAAATTGAATACACATGTGACCAGGTTTGATAAGGGTATTCCAATACAGCCACATGTTCCTGGAAAATCAAGCCTCGGGGATGGGGCGGTAACGATTTCATTTCATGGTTTTGCACTCGTTATGACTTTTGCCTCACGCATTACCTCTTTCTATTCCCCTGTATTCCTCTATCGGGTCTCTCCTCTTCGCTTCCTTTTTATTGTCGCCCAGTTGCGAGCTAGTGTCCCCAAAGTATGCAACGTTTTATGTTCGCTAGAGGTAAAATTCCGCACACAAGTTTTTCTGTTTTTTTAAGCAGCATTCTAAAGTCTCTGAGCCCGCCGATAAACTTTTTTTGTTTTTCAATTTAAAGTTACATTTTTCGGTTACTTTTTCACATTACATATTTTGAATGTCATTGCCGCCAACTGTGGCCGAGCAGTGCGAGACCCGAAAATCCCAAGAGAAAAGTGAGAGCGCAGGTGTGGTTTGTGCATGTTTATTTATGAATAGTAGAAAAAACAGGGAGACAAACGGACAGAGGAAAAACAGAGGCTAAGCGAACATGGGCGGTGTAAATTCCAAAATAAGTAAATTTAATTTTATTCTGCACGTAGCCAATTGCAACCTAAAAACCAAATGAATTTATTTTTATGTTGCATAAAGCCTACTGATATTTACACGTATTTGACGGTTAAAAAACATGTATCAAAGTTATCAACAGGCAGGCTTTGCCATTATGTAACATTTTAAATTCATTACAGTTGAAGTCTTTAAATGCAATCTCATTTAATAGATGTGTGTGCGTATATAGGCGAATTTGCAAATAACAAAACAAAAGGTATTTTCGAACTTGATCACTTGATTTAACATGTTATTGCACTAACCAAATTTAAAATATTTATTGGTATTTATACCATTATTTTATCGTACATAAATATAATTTAAGTGAGGAATGCTTGTTTTAGCATTATTAAGTTATTTGCAAAATTGCAAAACTGAAAACACACTCTGGATGATGAAAAGCCAGCCAAGGAGATGGCTAAACTAATCAAGGTGAACGAATAGAGAGCTATTAAGCAAAAAGTTACGACCCAATAAAAATGGCCAGCAGAAAGGCAAATCAGTGTCGAGAGAAGTCACCTAATTGAGTAAGTGTCATCACCGGACCATCCGCATCCAGATCCGGATCTTTGAGTTCACATTGTACATATACACATGTGTGGTAGAGTGTGCTGATGGGTGTTGTGGTTGACGTCTGGTATCGCACTCTTTGTGGCAGTGGATTTGGAAAACGGGGACAGCAGACACGACACGTCAACTTGCAAATATACTGCTAGCTAGGATTCACACACTTGCAAAAAAAGTAGGTCAGGATTTCTTTTAATATACTTTAAAAATATCGGGTGAGTTATGTTTTAACTATCAAACATAATATTAATAATATAATATTCCGAATTTTAAAGTGACAGTAAAAACAAATGTAAATAGCCTTTTATTTACTTACGAAGAGTCTTTCCAAATAGACTCGTTGTTCAGCAAAGATTGGTTGTTCGTAAATTAATATTACGAAGATTAAGGTTAAACTTACATCACTAAAAATATATGATTTCATCAACATGTTAAAATCAGAAGTATTACTAGTTTGTTTAAAAACTAAGCATACAAGATTTATTATACTTCGTTTCTAGTTTAGGTCGCGACTTTATTCTCTGTGTACAGTTTAGTTTTGTCCAAATGACTCTGTTCTTGCTGTGTGCTGTTGTGGATATTTTATTTCACTTTATTGTATTTTATTCCTTTCCTGGCCCGTATTTTTTTTGCGCACTTTCTGTTGTTCTTGGACGAGCTTTGTTGTGTGCTTTTGTTTTTATTTGTGTTCATAACATAAACTTTGTATTTTTATGCGAAACAAAGAGTCGGAAAGGAGACAGGGGATACAGGACTCAGGACCAAAACAACGACAACTGGAGAGACCAACTTGTTTGCGCTGGGAAATCAGTTAAGGACTTGGCGCACAGACTTGCCAAGACTTGAAATAATACACATATACACAAATATATTCACTGTCCCCGTTAGCACTTGGCACTTTTTGTTGTTCCTGCTTTAACACTTGAGTGGATTTTTGTGTTATTTTTGTACGAGTCCTGGGCGTTGATTTGGCTCGCCGGGGGGATCCGGAAGCGGCGGGACAAAGGACTCCTCATTTATTATGCGCGCCACAAATCGAAATCAACGAAGCAACTTGATTAAGATTTAACTAAGCAAACAGACTCGCATGCAGCAGTCTCACACTACCTGAGATGTTTTCTTTTCCTCCGGAATTAAGTTTACATTTCAATTTGAAATTGAAACAAGGATTGCATATGTATGCAGGAGGACGGGTTCAGGCAAGTGTTGTAAATTATGCAAAGTGTCAATGCACTTCCCGTTTACCTTGCCCACAGGCCATGGCTTACACAAAGCCAATTTAACATAAAGTGTAATAATTAAATATGAATTATGAACTTCGAATCAACTAAATGTTATCCAGAAGGGTGCATAAATAAATAAATGCCATTATATGATGAACAAATTGTAACGCAGAATAAACAAAAAAAAAACATCTCACAAAAAATATAGAATCATACTTAAATGATCGTTTTTACGCTTAATAGCACTTTTTATTTGTCAACATTTAAATACTCGCTTTTTAAAGCTGAGAGAATTTAAGTTGGAATCTTTTTTAAGTTTAATTTAATTTATTTCCATAATATTGTTCTATCCTATTAGAAATATTTTGTCTTTCAATAAAATCCACAGTTTTGTAATTTCAACACCTACATAACTCATCTAATTTCAATTTAAAGGGTATGTCACATAAAAAATATTAATTAAAGCCAAACCACAGGCAGGGAGCATGCTACATGAAGTTTGCGGTGGCCGGTAATTAATAAAATGTTCGAAGGGCGAAACGCGGGAGGGGCTCACTCACGCCCAATTCAATGGCCACTTTGGGGACTGATTCGGCTTTTATGGCCCGGCATTAGCATGGGCATTTTATATAAATCTGCGGGCAGGGGGACAGTATTTTTTCGATGGCCGCTGCCTTTGGTAAATTGCATATTGTTGCAGTTAGCAAACTGTCAACTGAACATCAATCTATTGACGGCCAGCGGGCGTTAAGCTGCCCATCGAATCCCCTGGTCGCTATTAGAACGGGTCACGCTTTTGTTCGGGAGCTTAACGAGCTCAACCCTATCGATGGGGTAAAAATAAAACCGATGACGCAGACATAAAAGAGGGTTTCAAATGCTTTAAGCGCTGCGTTTGAACGCCAACGGAGTCTCTTTCATGTGGACCCACGGACGGACAGGCGCTTCAAGGCACAGACACGGTCGAAGCAGTAAAAGGATGCGCACCTCACCCACGCACTCCCACACACCCAGCCACGCCCACTCGGCCCGCCTCACAGGCCATTGTCCGTCCATTGTTCAATCCATTTGTAAAGGAACATGGGAATGCTACTTTAAATTGAAATTTAATCAAATTTACCACACAAAGAAAGGCCATATGCGTTGAAACTGTGTAGGTTTTTATAGTTACAATTTTAAGATATAAATGAAAACAGAATTGGTATCATTTATCCAGGAAATAAAAGCAGTAATGACAAACTTTCCTTGAAGATAAATATTAATAGTTAAATATAAGATATTGAAAAAACACATGTTTGATTATAATAAAGCTTTAAATAAATAAACTACTAGAATTAGAATTGTCAATCTAATTTATTTTTACAAATAAATATCATTTAAAATTGTCAATGATTTGATCTCTTTATTCATACAGTTTATTATTTTAAAAACTTTATACAAATCAAGTAGTTCACTTTTCTCGTACCTCTTTTTTAAAGACCAAACCCGATATAGACCGAACACAAAAACTCTTGATATAAGTTTGCTTTCACAACGGAAATCATAAATTTTGGCACACAAAAATCTCGATTAACTGCTCGACGCAGCAAAAGTTGAAAACTTTTCCGTTGGGAGCGACATCTTTTGCGTCCGTGTATTGTTCATATTTCATTAAAAGACAAAAAAAGTGTCAACCATGGTGGCTTTAAAGCGCTTGTCAAAAACTTTTCCCAGCTACCACGGCATTAAAATTCTGAGAGACCAAATCCATTTACGAAGAAAACTGCACCGAGGCGATAAGATTCATACATTTCAAAGGTAAAGGATGCAACATATGGATATATGTAGAGCTTGTCAAAACCCAAAAGCCATTAGAAATGTCTAAACAAAATCGCGCGGCTTTTGCATTTCAGGTGCACTGAGGGCAAATTGAAAAGTCATGTCAAGAATAAACAAAATTTTTTGATGGCAGGGAAGAAAATATGGGCAGCGAATTGTCAACGCTTCGCTGACTTTCAAATTGAACGAATACAAACAACAGGAATTTCACAAACCAATGCACTTGGCAGGAAGAGGAAAACAAAAAATGGAATAAAACAATTACGCGTTTAATATATTTTCATTTAGTCCGGCAGGACGAAGAGCTGCCAGAAAATAACGAAGGAAATATAGGGATAAGGGATAGGAATGGGAAGCTCGTCCTTTGCTGCCTCATTTTTTACTTTTAATGAAGCGCAAGAATTTCTGTTGGATAATTTGTTAAGCGAACTTTGGCGGCCCAGAGGACGAGGCATCTTGGCTAGAAGGCAAAAAGCCAAACGGAGCCTGCAAAAACTTAGACAATGCAACAAGGACACAGTTACACACACACAGAGACACACCGAAAGACAGAACTGAAAGTTGCGCTATAATTTGGCTTATTTCGGCCAGCAAATTTATAGAGTGGAGATGCAAAATGCTGCACCGGAAGTGGCCCCAACTGCCCAGGACTGTAAAACACAAGAGCAAGGACGAAGGACGAGGGGCGCAGAACGAGGCAACAGACAGCGCAAGATAAATGACACGCAAAAGCCAAGTGGCAGATTTTCATTTTTAATTAAAACAACGGTCAGGCAAAGCTTGTGCGAGCACGCTCTTCCATAATGCATAGTAATAAACAATAATTAAAGTGCTGGCAAAGGGTGGAGTGGTCCTGTTGTTCTCCCCACATTTGCCACTGTTTTTCCACTTCCTCCCGCTTTTTCACCACTCACCTGTTGTAATGTTGTACATGAAAATCTCACGCAGCAGCAGCAGCTCGTCTTCCGGTGCAGCGGAAATTGCACCGAACACTTCGTTCTCCGGCCAAACTTCCCTGCGGAATATAAAAAAGGGATCCGTTAGAAAGAAAACAAAAGAATGCATTGAATTAAAGTTTAAACATGGAAGTAGCGAGGAAATAGAATTATCAACCGGGATGCAACGCTACCCAGCCTTTAGAACTACATATAAGTTCAAAGTTATCTGGAGAGCGAAATAAATAGTATTATAGATGAACTTACAAAATATGAAATAAGAATACATGTAAATACAACATGTAAATATGTAAATACAATTAACCAATACTTTTGTAAATACGAAAACTTTGTAAACAACTTTATATTAGATCCATAAACATATTTAAGCCCCGAGCTGAAGGTCTAAGCTGCTATGGCTCTAACGAAACGTTAGCTCTTAGTTTCACACTAGTTGTTAGCTTTAGATAAATAAATAAATAAATTCAACATGATATTCAATATTTCGTCTTAAGAGGGTCTTACTGAAGGTAAATCGTAATATGCTTGTATTTTCTTTTCGAAACTTTTAACTCTACAAACGCAACTGGTTTAATTTAAACTAAAACTGTACCCATTTGTATTATTCAAATGTAAGGTATAATGTATAGAATTTCAAACAGTCATTTGGTCAAATGATTGGACTAATGGTTACCAAAATTTTTAATAAACAACAGAGGCTTGTATAAGCTGATTGCATTGGATTATAAAGTTTGCAATTCATTCGCATAGTTTAGGCTTTGATAAGCAGTTGTTCATTTTGATTTATTGAGCCGACTAATATCCAAGTACATAAAACTCCATGTAAATGTCGAATTTTCATTTTGTTTTGCATTCCAAACTAGCAAACTGTCTGTTAAAAGCTAATACTTGCAGAGCTGCTGGCTTAATGAAATCATTCGATTTAGTCGAAAATTCCCTTCAAATTCGACAAACATAACTCTTTGAATAGGCCTATATAAATCGGTATTATTATCCCCATACCAGCGTAAAAAAAAATAGCAGAAATAACAAGCGGGCAGCCACGTCATGATGCAAAAATCGGAGCGCTTTTATTCCAGGCAAACTGAAATTGATGCGTTTTAAATTGCGTCAGGATACACCGCCCGTGCTTCTTGGCCAGCATTTCACATGTGTGTGTGTGTCCTGCTTCCTTTCCTTCCCTTTTCAGAGCCAAACACAATATAATCCCCACCGCTCTGGTGATGCAGCGTTGCAGGCTTTTCGCAACGTTGCCACTGTTAATTTAATATTTGAAAGCAGCTTAATATGCAACGCACAGCAAAAACATAACGAGAAAGAGATGAAGCAACCACTCTATCCAGAAAGAGATAGCACGAGAGGATCCGACACTAAAATTACCCTAAAGGATATTTATTTAAAATGATAAAAACATGATTATAAGTAAATTTAGAATATTTTAAAATTATTATTATTAAATTATTCTAGTTGTACAGGTTTAAATATGAAACAAAACAAATGTCAAGAATGTTATCCCTACATAAAATATTACCTTACTAATTTGTACGTTAAAATAAAATCAAAACAATTTAATAAGTCGTATTATTTAAGGGGACTAAAAAATAAGTATAACATTTAAATGGTTACAGCCTTTCATCCCCACCTTTTTTGACTGATAAATGTGGTAAATGTAAGCACTAAAATTAGAATGAATTCGAGTGCTCTTTTTTCTCTCGAGTTCCATATTCCCAAAGGGCCAAATTTGTGTTGCAGTGTCATCGAACGGCCTTGCCCGCTGTGGCAGTTCAAAGCGCGCTGTTCTTGGCCATATCAGTGGCAAGCAGGCAGGAATGAATAGGAAGAGCAAGTCCTCCTAAGCGACATATTTATGCTTATTTGTGGCCGTGCTTGTAGGCGATAGTGCAACTTATGTTTCCCGCTGTCGCCCAGCCAATAAATTGACTGACATGGCCACGGCTACGCCCCTTGCTTCATGTATGTGTTTGTTTGTAATCCTGCGGGTCTCGTTTTCGGAGCTCGTTAGTTACCACCAGCAGGATACAACAATGGACCAAACACCATCCGCGGGGTGGCCGGAATTTTTCGGTTTGCGCCATCATTTGCGTGTGCTCATTTAAAAGTTATGCGACATATTTTTCGTACAACTTTTACAGCCATGCGGCCTGGCGATAATTAGCGGTTTTTAGCAAGCCAGTATATTGGTCAGGGACGAATATTGGTTAATTACCATGAAAAATCTATGAAAACCATCGGGATGGTGGTTGGGGCTTTTGGCTTTTTAGTTCGATTATATTCAATATTGTTGTGCTGTGCGGCCAGTGGATAACATATTTAGTGAAAAAATGTTTGGAGCTAAGCATATTAAATCACATTGAATGAAACTAGATTATTTATGAAACGATATGCCGACCAATGCAGGATTATGTTAGCTCAATTTCCAGGGGTTTTACCAGAAATTCAGTGATTAAATTTATAATAAGCTATTATGAAATGTTTTTAATTTTCCAGCTTTTTCCAAAAAAAAAAACAATATTAATAACTTAGGGGAGATAAATGTCATCTGTCTGTCTGATAAAAAGCATTGAAATTGCAATAAAGTGCTTAAATTTATAATTATATGCCGGGAATTTTAAAAGTGTATTTAAATTCCAAATATATATAATAGAAATTTGAATAATTATATAAAACTCTAAAACTATGGTTTTGAGGTAAAAAATAGTTTTTATAATTGTACATAAATTAAACGAAACTGATACGTTTATAGAGTGAGCAAGTCATGCAGATGCATTTTAAATACCTGCTGGAAAACTTTTAATCATTTAAGAATTAACTAGCTTTGTCTACAACGATCAAATAATATTATATAAATAAGATTTGTTTTCATTAATATAATATATTTCCTGGATAACACACTTCACAAATGAAATCGAAAATGCTCCATTATTATAAATAAGTAAATAAGTACATGTTTTTTCATTTAGAACTGCGGCACTTTGGTTTTAGATTTTCCTCACTTCAGATGGTTTATTTGCAACGCTAATGAACTTTTTTGAATTGAGCAAACGCCAGCCGAATGCTGGCTTAAAAGCTAAAATGATAAATATTTCCAGTCAACAAAATCAACAAGAGATGTGCAAAGGGGAAATAAAAGGCGAAAGCGGAGCGTCCCGTTGCTATGCTAAATAAGCGCATCAGCAGACGCTTAAATAAGCTTAGTTAAAAGGCGGGCAAAGTGGGCGGGACAGCGGTGGGTGGGGAACTGAAAGTTGGAACCAAAGTGAAGTTTGAATAAACATTTTGCGCATTTACTTCACTTAAAAGTTAGTTTTTTCCAAGCACATATTTCTGGGCACCCATTAAGCCAACGTCGGAGAAAGCAAAAGCAGCAGAAGGAAAAACCAGAAACGCTACCAATTTTAGTTTTTCCCTCTCGCCCAACTTAAATGAAAAACCCCTAATAGTGTGACTTGGCAAGTATTTAAAAATTCTGGGCAGACACACACTCGTGCACATCAGCCTCAATGCACTTACATGCCAGGCCATGCGTGTTGTGCTCACAAGCTCCAGTTTATTTTCAATATTTTGGTTACCCAAAAAAGGTTCTTATTGCCAGCTAGAGAGAAAAAAGCAGAGTCCTATAAAGTGGATAATATACCCTGAAGCTTTAAATTTACCATGCAAAAAATATATGGTTGCGAGTTATGTTTCATTGTTTTAATATTAATACACATATACTCTGGCAGTTTATGAACCTTTAAGAATAATAAATAAAACATATTGAAGGTATGATTTCAAGTTTTCTATAAATTAATATAACAACAAATTTTAATTATTTGTTTAAGAAGAGTTGAAACCTATTAAAATAATTAAACATAGTATATATAATTAAAACAATATTTTTTATTATGCATAAGCAATTTTTGAAAGCCCTAAAATATTTTGAAAATACTAATAGTTTCATCGGCTTTAGTAGTTTTTAAAAATTGGATGTGTAATATATAAAATGTTTATCAAAATACCAACTAATGGAACTCTTTCCTAGGGAATGCAAAATAAAGTGAGTGTAACCCCCAGGACAAAAAGTGCTAGGCAACGGGGCACAAAAAAGTTGCAGACAATGGCCAGACAAAGGAGTGGGACCCGGGGGCGTGGTCATGGGCAGTGGCGGCAGTGGGTGCAACCTTCGGGACTGCTCTATATGCATATCGCATTTTAATTTATTAGCACAAAAAGCGTCTAGACCTTTTTAAGCTACCACTGCAGCAGCCGAGTGGCAAGCAAAAATTGTATTTATTTTAATGCAACACTCTTCGTTGGCAACAATTAAAATGTACATAAATTTCGAGGAAGCATGAACATTATTATGAAGCCCTCTCACTGGCAACACTTTCCTCCAATTCACCCAATCAATTTGCACAGAGCAGGAGCCTCCAGCATCGAGGTCTCCTATTTGCAGATGCCATCGATTGGATTCCTTTGAGACAGGTCTTCCGACCAGAACCAACAGGCAGCAGGTGGAAAATTTTAATGAGGTTGTAATTAAATGACTTGGAAATATTTAAGCCACGTTTTCGATTGCTCCGGCACCAGCCTTTGACACTGCGACATCTGCAGAAGCTTCCGTGCGGGTGGTGTTGGCCTTATTTAAATGTTGACGCGCAAAAGATAAATTATTTTCGCGCAATTTTCCCGAGTAAACAATAAACATTTCTCGAGCGCGTCTTCAATGGGCTTTACATAATTGAGCGGGCAATTAAATTGAAAGGCAAGTACATCCCAACAGAGCGAGGAGCTCCTCTGACCTGGTTCCATCCACATCCACATCCACCTCACCTTCTCTGCGGTTTCTTGACTGAAAAATTGCAGGCGGCAGGGACAAAAACCGGGAACCGAGAAATTGCCTGAAATGCAGGGCACCACCGACTCTTATTATCTGGCAAAAAGGAGCGCAAGGACAAGGAATTCCGGGCGCTGCCATTATCTGTAGTTACCGGGGTGCCAGCGTGCTCTGCCTTAACAATAAATAAAAACTATTTAATTTAAGGGCAACACAGGACAGCGACGGTCTTCGTGCCTGGGAGAAAAAATATGAAAAATAAACAGGAAGAATATAAAATTCGATAAAAGCCAGCGAAGTCTCGCACAAAAGGACACAGGACGAAGCGGATTTTTTCCCGTTTTGGCTAGAGTTAATTTATTATGCGAATTGCTTTCGTACCTTTTCCATCGCCCAGTCAATGTCAAGTTATTAAAGAGGGATTTCAAGGGGATTACGTCAGAAGCTCTAACAACAGAGTTCAGAGACCAGCCAATGGCATTTTTAATGTCCACCACCCAACTCACCTGGCGGCCCGCAGAAGGGCGATGGCCTGGTCCAGATTCTCGGAACGCAGCAGTTTATTTATGCGAATCATGCAATCCTCGCTGAAAGTAGGAGAGGACCAAGAAACATAATAAGAACACGTTGCACAATTGGAAACCGAACTGGCTGCGGGTTAATAATGGTTTCTGCCGAGAGTAAGGAAGGAAATAAATAGGAATAGTTGCAACGAACTCACCGCTGATCATCGATGGGTTTCTCGGATGCAGCATCGAAGGGCACCGGCTGCTCGTCCTCAGGCATTTCCAATTCTGTGGACAGCAGGCTGCACACTTCCGTTGCCATTTCAGCCCATTTGCTCGACAATTCTTCCTGCAATTATGCATTAATAAATTATTTATAATTTGCTATTGTTTGCAAATGGATAATCACAGAGGGAAATTAGTCGTTACGTAAATATGAAAGCGGCAGAATTAATTATACCACATAGGCAGTTATATTTATAACCAAATATCTAATAATACTTGCCAGCTATTTGCAAGTGATAGATAAAATCGATTTAAAACAAAACTAATGAAATGTATTTATAATTGGAATTCGTTTTCATAAAATAACCAACTGCTATGCCCAGAAGCATATCAAAGTTTACAAAGCTATACTTTATCATTTAGATAAATAAGGAAATTTTAAATGAGTTAAGACTAAAAGCAATTGTATAGCACCTACTCTAGCTCTTTCCTAAATTATGCATTTTATATTTAATTCAAAAAGGCTTAATCTCTGTATTGGTATTTTAATTTTATCTATCTAGACCAGACCAGAATTTAAAATATGCTGATTACATTAGTCTTTGAAAAAAGAGATACAGACATAAACAATTGTTTTCGTTTTTTTGCCTTTTTTGACCTGTTAACAATGCATATTAATTGAACATAAACGGGCGGCGTCCTTCTAATCACAAGGGCATGTAAATGGAAAAGTATTTTTATTTCATTAAATTTCCGATCCAATGGCAAGGGGAAATTACTATTTATACATGAGAGACAATACATCGTTATAAAAAATCAATTAAAAAGCAATAATAAAAAAAAACTAAGTATAAAATAACATTTCATTGGGATTAAATAATAAAAAATGAATAATAGCAATGGTATCTTAAAGTCGCTTCACTACAATGATTTTTATTTATTTGTTTTATTTGATGTTTGCTTTTTTTACACGTTACACAATTCCATACATTTCGTTTATCGCTCGTTTTACTTTTCGCATGTTAAAAGGGGAGGAACATGCAAATGTTTGTGCCGTGCGGCGTTTGTCATGTTTTTCGCTCGGCAGCGAGGACAAATATTTATAAATTAATTGTTGAAAAATTGATGCGCTGAACGCGTTTGCGTGTGCCAATAACAATAGCACAGCTACACGACCGCAGCTATACAAATAAATATGTCAAAAATTAACACAATTGAAGGTTGCAGCAAAAAAATAAAATTAATCTTGTTCGCATCAGCTTCCACATCCCTTTCGAGACCCCATGTCCTTTGCCCAACGAGCACCCCCGGAAAAAGGACCATACCGGAGGCCACAAAATGCGCAGAAAATGCCCAGCCTTTGCAGGTTGCAGTTGCAAACAGTTGTGGAAACTCCAAAGGCCAGTGGGCACTGCCCGGAAATCACGCTCAGCGGTGCGTCCTGTCCCAACGCGACAAAGTGTGCAAAAACAAAAGATGGTTAGGAATACAAAAGAACCAAGGCACGCAGAAAAAATCGAACTTCAAATACTCTGAAAAGTTGTTTTTTAATTTTTTAAGGACAGTTTATAGCTGCTACCATTTGTGCCTACTAATTCAAGTGAACATATACAAAATTATTTAATACAATTTTAAGTTTAACATTGCTATTTTTATAGGTTGTATCTAATCAAGATTTATTTCTATTGAAGTATTTTATAATATGAATTAAGGCAGTAATAGCAGTACTGTATTTATTAAAGCGTATGTTGGAAAACAAGTAGTATTTAACGCAGCACTGAGCTTTTTGAAAAAGGTCAAAGCTGCAAAAAAAAACGGAAGCCTGGCAGAAATCCTGGCGAAAGTTTTTCCCATTTTTCGCAAGTGTGAGAGTGTGTAAGTCCGCGGGTGCGTTAACGAAGGTCACTTGCAATTGTGCACCATGAAAATAATACGCACACGAAGTAGAAAGTACACAAAAGCCCCAGTCGTTAAAATTGAATAATATAGAAACGTCGTTGGGGTAGACTCCTGTTTTTTCGTCCTGTTTTCTTCCATATTTTCAGTCAATTAAATTTCATGATCAAACACATAAATCTTTAACGGTCATCGCATAGACGACAATTGTTTTTTCTGTATTGTATTTCTTTGCTTTGTTTGCAATTCGTTTTAAATTTTATTGGCAATTTAGGTCGTATTTTATGGCTTGCACAGCGGGTGCTGACCAGCAGGCTTAAATAAAGTTATTTAATGCGGCCATTTATTTTTAAAACATTAAACAGGGTATATCAAGACAGTTATTATTTTGAGTAATTTTCGAAAAGTTTAGTATCCTATATTACAAAAAAAACTTGATATTTATTTGCTTAAATTATAAAATGAATATATAACACCTTTATTTTTGATTCTTTTAATTTGTAATATGGCATTTCTCACCTCAGTGGGTTGTGGTGCAGTTGACGGTTTGGAATTGGTCGCCGGCTGCTTCTTCTTGCGACCCCCGCCACCACCGCGCCGCTTGTCCTGCACCACCACAGAGTCCTGGCAGAAGCGCTCCATCATTTTAATGAAAACGTTGGCCGTTTCCACCACATCGCGAAGGAAAACCCTGTGGAGATGGAGTGTAGAGGTTAGTTAACAAAATGAAAATATATTGTAATTAAATTCTGTATTATTTGTGTGCACAGCACATGTATCCAAATTGAATTTGTTGCATGTTGGCACCGTCTCTTTATAAAAAATGCATGCCTCATTGCACAAAATTCAATTAAATGTGGCAAATGCTTAATTTTTTTTAACTCAATTTTATTGGGTCGAATTTAAATTATAAATAAATATTTATGTTTATTCGGCACCTTCTGTAATTTACAAGCTTGGTTGTTCAATAAAGTGATCAAATCAACATTTAAAGGGTTTGTCGCAATAATTTAATTTAATTTAAATTTTAATAGTTTTCACCTATGTTTGAAACTCCGACAGAAAAGATATAACATGAATTAATTAGAAAATGTTCAGTAAATCTTCGGCTTCAGGCGACATTTATAGAAAAAGTAATTAAAGCCGAATTAAGATACTAACATTTTTCATTCAATTTCAATCAGAGTTTTATACCAGTAAATCACAGTTAAAATTGCGAACGCCACAAAAATTTTGCAGCATAATCAGTTTTTTATGAAAAACATTTTTAAAAATTGAACACTCACAGTACTTCAACAGGACAACAATGGATTACTCGAAGTGATTATATAACACACAATAAAATCATTTTAAAAATAGTTTTTCAGAATTCACTCTATTTTCGTTGAATTAAATCTATGGAAAATATGTGTGCATTTTGTAGTATATTTTAAATTTAATGGTTTAAACCTTGATAAATGTATTAATAATAGTAATTCATGGAAAAAATGCAATAAATTTTATAAATTCATGAAGAATTTCATATGTATAAATCAAAGTCGAACATCAATAACCTTTCGGTGTTTATTGAATATCATCGAGTACATTAAAAAGGCCAAAAGATGCCCCGCCCCCAACAGTCTTTCCGCCCACTCACCGGCATCGAGAAAAAGTTCCCCACCATGACTGGCTAACTAACCCAACCCGATTCGGGCTGAGTGATGATGTGGCCCCTCATTTTGGCGTTGCCTTTGCTGTCGAAGCCGATGACGCCTCCAATTAGCAAATTACCCTCAAAATGTGAAAAGGCAACCGACAAAAAAAAATGAAAAAACGAGGCAGAAGACAGCCGCCAAACTGCCAAAATCAGCTGCCGCTATGCAGACCTAACTTCCGCTTTGTTTTTAGCCAGCCCCAACCCGAAATATAAAAGCCAACGTCATTGTGCACGTCAATTTGTTAAAATGATTGATTGTCGTTTGAATAATGAAAATCGCGCGAGTCACCGAAAAGGACAATTCGAAACAGGCCCAGTATGCAAAGTAGGCGGGCCTTAATGGGTCCCAAATATAGTAACCAATAAATAGAGATGAAAAAGCTATGTCAAAAATGGGAAGGTCAGATTTGTTTGAAAAGTCCAATGTGTTATCTATCTTGACAAGGCATTTCAAATTTTTAGGTATTCAATGAGTGGAAAGTTTAGCTGATTTCTTAATCATACTAGAAACTTTGAGTATAAAAGTATTAAAAACATTAAAATATTATGCATAGAATATGTGAAATTGATTGCGGACATATTAATTATACCCGTTACTCGTAGAGTAAAAGGGTATATTGTATTCGTGCAAAAGTATGTAACAGCTAGAAGGAAGCGTTTCCGACCCTATAAAGTATATATATTCTTGATCAGGATCACTAGCCGAGTCGATCTAGCCATGTCCGTCTGTCCGTCTGTCTGTCCGTCTGTCTGTCTGTCTGTCTGTCCGTATGAACGCTGAGATCTCGGAAACTATAAAAGCTAGAAGATTGGCATTTTGCATGTAGGTTTTAGAAGTTCCTACGCAGCGCAAGTTTGTTTCAAAATGGTGCCACGCCCCCTTTAACGCCCACAATCGCTTATATACGATTTTAAAAATTTAAATATTTCGGAAAAGTAAAAAGGCAGTTTTATTGAACCTATCGAAATGTAGAAGAAATTTTTCAAATCGGACCATTCGTTAAAAAGTTATGCGTGATCAAAGTTTCTATCTCCATCTCCCTCGCACTCCCTTTACCTATATGACTATAGCGTTCTCTCTTGTTTTTAATTAAATTCACGAAATACCTGAATACTTCATAAATAAAATTATGAATTGTTACATTTTAAATCGATTCTTACTTTTATGAGTTTTAAAAACAGAGAGTAAGAGGTACACTGCCCAAGCTGCCGAATCGCTGCACCGATTTCAACATGATTTGACAATATTTTCACGAGCATACGTGGGAGTAATCCATATTCAAGTCGTTCAGCGTTCACCACTCTAATTGCCGTGTCCCAGGTCCATAAAAGTGGCAACATTGCGTTGGCGGTGAAAATGGGAAATGGCCAAAAAGGTCGCGGCGCTGTCACTCAGGCGATGCCACTAAAATTTATGCAAATTCATTGCGAATTTTAATGCCCCGCGTGAGCTTCGCTGCAGGAACTTCCAGCATCGGTATTTTCGAATGCGGTCAATGTGCCACAACGCAGCTGGCGAGGTGACCATGGGAGCCGGCGACCGGGGAAATGAATTTGTAATGAAAGTGGTTATCCGGCATTCGGTGCCCCGGCCAACAAGAATCGATGGCATAGATGCATAGACATTTAGCCAAATTAAACAGGCAAATAATTCAAAAGCGTGGGGTTTTTTGCGACATCTAATAAAAGTCAACGCCTTTTTTTAACAGTACGCACAGAAAATTCTGGGCAGTGCTGGTATTTCGATGTTCAAAAATCATTGGTGGATTCCAATAAGTTATAAGTTATAAGAAGCTTGCTATTAGTATCTTGTTTTAAGAGAAATCTTGAAAGCTGTACCAAATCTAAATAAACATAATTAACATTTTTAGTAAGCCTTTTTCGACATCTTACATTTTTTTAGGTATTTAAAAATGTTTCTGTAAATATTCAAGTTCCGAATTCGTCGTTGCAAATAAATTATTGAGTAACAGATAATTCGATTTGTTCATCCTGTGGTGTATTAAATTCAATAATGTAGTCTATAAAAAACTCTTCCTAAATCGTAAGGAATTCCTTTAGAAACTTAAATGTAATTAATTAGATGCTCAAAAGGCAACTGGAATTATTTGACGCAATACGAACGATTATGGAAGATCTAAACTAGGAGCATTAATTATTATCAGTCCCAGTGCTTAAGGTAGTTGCTTCACAACGTTTACTTAACCACCTGAATTTTGGTTTCTTGCTGAACTATTCTGTCCAATTAGGAGTCCCATAAATTACACATCTATAATAGAGCTAAACAAGCCGAAGATTAAACAGCCGCATAAAGCAGTAGTTGAATAGAAGCCAGTTGGCATTTATCAGCCAATTGCAAAGATATTTGGCCATTTGTATTGATCAAGAACTGTCGGCAGTGACCACAACTGCCAGGAGTTTGAGTCCGGGGGTGGTCGGAGTCACAATTGATGATAAAAGGGCTCAGTTGACTGCAAGGCGCAACCGACAGGCGGTGAATGGATTGTGGTGCACGTGGATTTGAAATTTGAGTGGTGCTATGTGTGTGCACCCCTGCCTCCGTGTCCATATCAGTTCCTGTCTTGTTTGCGGGTGCTGTGTGGTGCACATTTGATGATAACTGAAATGTGAAATGAATCAAGCGCAGCCACGTTAGCGGCGATGTCACCGCAAAGATGTCTGTGGCGGCAGCATTAACGTAGCGCAAAAACTGCTGGTAGCTGCGGACTTTGGAGTCACCTACTACTATCTAGTGCTGAAAGCTTAGCTATTTTGCCGCACTTTAGTGGCTGAGATGTCACAAAAATTAGGTAATATAGAAACGCTGTCATAACATCGCACCTTCCTAATATTCATTAAGCCTTTTTCCCAAATCAACCAGTCAAAAATATGAACTTTTATATTGTAGTTTTGCAATATCAACTGCATATTTTTTTTGGATGTCAGCAAATAATTTGTAATTGGATTTAAAGCATAGGTGGCCATAATCTCACGCACTTATATTATGCGTTTTGCAGTATTTTGGGCCTATCATAATGAATTTTCCGCAAAGAAATGCGTTTAAGGGTCAGTACTCAAATTATATCACTCATACGCACAGTTGTCCGTGATCGTACAAATTGTTTTTGATAGACATTAAGTATGGTATGAGTATTCTGGAAACTTTGAGACGATTTCCTAACAGCTTAAACTCAAAATAAAATATTTTCATTTTCGAATAAAATAATTTCACTACCACATAAAACGGAAATGACATTTTTTAAATCAACCTAGTACTATGTACACGGTTTCATTCAATTTGGAAAGATTTTTTAAAATACTTTTTTTAATTCAGAATAAAACACAAGAGTCTACGTGTATGTTTTATATCATTTCTCTCAACTCAGATGACTAGACAACACTGCTAATGGTGGTGGTGCTGCTGCTGGTGGTACTGCAGACGCTGATGCTGGTGGCACCTGACCACAACGCCAAGTAACCGCAGCGGATAAGCGGGTGGGCGGTTTGATAGTTGCACAACATATTGCATGCCACAAACCATTTTACAAGCGGATCCAAATCGATTGCCCACCTTTCCCGCCCTAATGATGCGCAGGTGCAAATCGAGTCACCCCAACCCTTTACTCCTCCTCTCAGTTCCAGTTCTACACAAAGACAAAAGATGTAATAAGTTTACTAAAATAATTGTATGTTAAACCATGTTTACACATGCACAAGAAAATTACATTTTTTAGCAAATGAAGAGCGGCTGAGTTCGCTTCAGCAAAAAAAGTAAATATTAATATTTACCTTAAGCTGAAAAAAACAAATACAAATCACAGTAAACTTACAAAAAAAAATAAGAATACATTTTATAATAGTTAAAAAAAACACATGTATATCTGAGGATAAATTAATTTGTTTCGAAAATGTTTAAGCTGATTAGGTTTGTTTTAAAAAAGGTATCTTTCCATTTCTTGGTTTAAACTCCCTATTCTCTCTATGCACACATACTCAATCTCAAGCACATGTGACCAACGAAGCCTGGCGTCAGGACAAAGATAAATCGTTAATAAATTATTTATAATTAATTTGTATGCACGCGGTTTTGTAACTTCTGGCTGCCCTGCTGTTGTTGTTGCGCCTGATTTGATATTCGCGTTTACGCTGATTAAATGGACGTCGACAGCCACAATGGCAGGGAAAATGAGAAGAAGAAGTTCAAGTAGCAGCAGGTTGAGCATACAGAATTAATTAGAACACTTGGGTGTTTTGGGGTTGGTCAGCAGTGTTCAGGGGTTTGGGAGGTCAGGGGTTGTGGATCGGGAATCTGGAATCTGGAGATGGGGATTGTCTTCGCGCCGAACTTGAGCGCATGTTGAATAAATGATAAAATGTAATTGCGCCCCGACACCGACCGGCAGGACGATTATTTGCGGGCAGTTTCTCGGGATGTTGTTGGCATAAGACGTTTATAATGAAAATATTATTAATTATGACAGCCACAACAACAATGACTGATGGGCGTCGAATGCCAGTGTTGTCGCTCTAGCCATTTAATGAATATTTATGTCACTCGAAAGAGAAAATGGCACCAAAAATAAACAAAAATAAAGCAGTCAGAGGTGCATCCAGCTTTTCAATCAAATACTTTCCATCGTCTGTTATTTTTATTAATTTTCTATCTGTTTTTAATAGATTTCTAGGCCCGACCTAACAAATCTTATTTTTGAGTATTCAAATATTGATCTACTATATTTTAAATTAAATAGTTATTATTATTATTACAGCCAAATTTTCTTTTCGATATAATTGTAAAAGAATTATAGGCCCGCTGTAAAATACCATATTTTTAGCTATTTAAAGACTGATCTACCATATTTTTAGTACAACTTTATATACTACTGCTAAAATGCTTTTGATATTAAATAGTTATTATTATTATTATCGCCTAAATTCGGACATCACTGTCGCCTCCAAATCAGCGACAAAATGGGTGGCATTAATCTGGGAGAGGCAGATAGGTGGCACGGACTGCTTGGCGGGGTCATAAATTATTCATCTTGACACCGAAAAATCTTTAATCTGTCAGATACTCAAAACACTGATTGCAGTTCAAAAGGCAGCAGCATTTACATGATTGCCAATTGGCCTGCTTAATTAAAAGCTGTTCAACTCGCTGATGACGCAACTTACTGTTTAATCGATTTAATTCTATAAACCAACTATTTTCAACTCGCTCCGCATTAATCATGCTCCAATTAAGCCACAGTTGCTGCCCCAGCGACAGCCCACAGCTGCAGTTACATGCCAGTATCTGTATCTGCGTTTTGTATCTGGCATCGCAACGAGTTTCCTGAACCCAACCAACCCATCCTGCGAACCTCTGTCAATTCCATGTTTGCGCGCTAAATTAATTTAGTCAAAGCTTTGAATTCGCCAGTGCCCCACTAACAGACTCTCAGACCGACTAACTAGAGCCCGTCCAACTGGCTGATGCGATGCGTTGATAGTCGACAGTAAAACCCATCAGGCACACAACAATTTGTTTATCAGTTTATGTGTCATCGGATACAGTGGAACGTTTAAGGAACGGACTAAAGTCCAGGCATTTCAATTGGATGAATTATCCAACTTATCATGTGAACAAAGTTCGATTATTTTTTTAAAAGATATTTAGGAACAATAATTGTAATAACTAAAAGAAAAGTATTTTAAATAATAATAAATTGGATTGCATTCAACAGAATTACATTCATCAATCATGATTTAAATGGTGTTTAAGGCCGATGTTCAGCTTAAAAGATTATGTTTGCGGTCGCCAATGGTGTTTTTATAGCTTACTCTAAAACAACAATGCCCATACTCGAAACTTTATCAAGAAAAACACCGTAAATAAATGAAAAGAAAAACATCTCCCAGTGGCGTAAAAATACAAAGCAACATATTAATTATTTAATTTAATTCACATTTTAAAAACATGTTCTTCCAGGCTTTCTTTTAGTTTTGTACGACATTGTTTGGCAATTGTTGCGTTTATTTTTGTATACAATAAGCAAATTTCAGCCATGGCCCGAGTTCAATACGTTGTATTATAATATATCCAATTCCATTTTTTAAAAAGGCTTTTTATTTTATCCATTTTTCTTGTATGGAGAAACTTTTTAAGTCCACATAAAAGAATTCTATATGCACAAGTTGGGTAATTTAATTAAATGAAGAGTGACAAGCTCAAAAACTTGAACGACCCATGGTATCTCTTTGCCACTGTCATTCGAGTCTGTGACACAGAAATAAGTTTTCAGGCATTTATTGCAGGTATCACTCTACATACAGCACTCGGAGTCGAGTCTGTTTGACAGGCGAATTTGTGCAGCCATTTAGAAATATTCAAGTGAGTCTAACTCTTCATGTTCGGCACTAAAAAATTGCAATTATCTAAATGGATTGCGTAGTGGAAGTCAGTTAAAAAGGGTTTGCGCTCACCCATGAATTTATTTTCTTTTTAATAGCTTTTTGAAAATCATGCAAGCACGGAAAAGTACGATAATATTCTTTGATACCTATCCAATTGCTGGAAATAAGTGAGTCTATATGAAGCATTTGCTGTGTCAATGAACCTAATCTTTCAGATGTACTCAATAAAATGTAGGTAATGAGTTAAAAACACTCTAGACCTGCGGGTAAATCATGAAAATCCCAACTGAATCTGTTGAAGCTCCACTATATTCAATGCTCTGCAGCGATTTATTAAGTACCCGCAGTGTGGATTGAAATAATCTCGATTCAGTTCCCGTGCGGTGAACGCGCTGTTAACTCGGCAATTAGGATGCAGCCAAGGTGCACGAATTGCCCTAAAAAAAATACACTACGCTACATGGGTTGGCTTCCAGCAAATGGCATAATTTTTATGCCAGAACACGCGTGCAGCACATGCTTGTAAAATCAATTAAACTTTTAGCCAACTTCCATTCCCGCCGCACGAGGAATGTGCAACTAGTTCATTTGGCGACTCCTGCTTTTGGAGGAACACACGCATATATAAGCATTCCACATTCACTCCATTTAAGGGCAGTGTTGTCGGGATATATATTAGCCAAAAAGGTGTGAGAATTATTCATAAAATGCGCAACAATATAATGAAATGCATAATCGTTAAATTTTTCCATCTTAAGAAACTAGTGATAATATACTACTTAACTGATTTAAATAAATATATTGGCTAGTAATAAAATGCCATAAAAACATTGTTAAAATGTAAATTGACAGCCAAAAGGAATAAAAATATATAAGGTGTTAATTCTCAATTTAAGGTATAGTAATGCAATTATTTTTAAGCAATATAATTGTGTTTAATTTGATGTAGAGTTTTCTGCTGCCTCGAATAGAATATGGAAACCTTCAGCTTGGCAGCACTATCACGAGGCGTTGGCGACCCAGCAGACATCTGTGCAAATAGCCGAACAAACAGAGCAGGACTCAAGACAAAGGCATGCCGCCAAGACAAACAATGCCTGATTGTCGGGGCGAGGTCCTGGCAGAAAGGGCGATATCCTGACAGGCCGCACTGCATATTTCGGTGGGGAGCAACTACACCGAGTGCTCGTAGTAATCCCATTAGAGGATGTGTGTTTGGCTTGCTTATTTGCGGATGCCACGGGGTCGTGGCCGTTATCTATCAGAAATGCAGCCAGGCCGGGTTTGGGATGGTTTCCAAATTCGGTTTTGGGATGAGGCTTCTGGATTTAGCATGGCCGGAAGGGCAAGTTATTTCCAATCGGAATGTATGTGCATAGTTGGAATAGTTATTCGCTCGGGTACTCACTTTGTGCTGTGCGCCTCATTGTAGTTCATTAACAAATGCAGCACTGTCTCCCGATACTCCAGTACATAGCACACGTTGTTCAATAACATATCGAAAAGGGCCCGCGCGTTGTTGTCATCCTTCAGCTTTTGCAGTGCCAGCAGGCTTTGAAGCAATTCCCGGAATGTCTTTAATTAAAAAATTGGTAAGCATTAACTTGACAGACGCTCGAGCATTTGATTGGTGAGGTGAGCTGGGGTGAGGTGGGGTATGCTGTGCGGTGCATTGTAATGAGACTTGGATCTGGCTTTTAGATGGGGACCACACACATGTTAGTAATTATAAACGCTCTCGATTCCTTGTGGACAGTCCGAATATTCTTGGTGTAAACAGAACTGATTGGGCTTTGTCGATTTGGTTTGTTTGTTAAATGGTAATGAAGCTGGTCAGAGTACCATTTAATCATTAGTTTTTACCTACTTATTAAAAAAATACTTTTATAGTAGTGACTATGAAAAATTGGGCCAAATTCCGAATACATTTTTTTATCCAGTTAAACATTCAATTTGTCTCGAATCTAATAACTTCAGATATTCCATTTGTTATCCATTTAATTGGTGTGAGACATAAACTCAAATCTTGAGCCTGCAGCTCAACGGAACCTTTGGTGCCAAGCATTTTTAACTAATCCTTGGCAAAGCTCGCTGTTCATTTGAAGTTTCCCCCATCATTCCGGTGGGCTTAAAGGATGCGTGGAGCTTGGCTTGAGTACTGGAGCCGAGTGCCGAGTAGCCAGTGCCAGGCAGCAAGCTTAATCCAAGGCAAACGTCGAGCGGCAGCTGAGTGCCCCAAAAGTGCACTTACTGGGCCAGAGCAAACAACAACAGACCCGCACACACACTTTGCACTCGGCTTAGAGGGCGCCCCGCGAAGGGGGAGGGGCAGCAGGATGGCAGGATAGGATGAGATGGGATGGAGAAGGACCTGGAGCTGGATCTGGAACTGGAGTGACTTACCAAAAGGGCTACATGCAGTCGCTTGGCCCAGAGACGCGCCTGTTTCTTGTCGCTCACAATCATGTCCATGTCATGTTGCATGCGCGTCAGGACCCAGTGGAAGCATTGCACGCTCAACGATTCGCTGCGAATGAAATGGAAAAAGCCAACACGGTTACGTTACATACAAGAACACAGCAAGAAAAGTGACAATCTTATGTATCAAAAACCACATTTTAATCATTTAAAACAAGAAACATCCGTCTGTTTAAATATAAAAATCATGTCCCTATTAGATATTTGGAGTAAATCAAAATTCAATTGAACAGTATAACCTGTACTTTTTTGTTAGATTTTAAAACAAAAATGCAACAAATTTTTCATAGCTTCATAGCTTAGCTTCTTGATATGAAGAAAGAAATTTGTGTAAAGAAAACAAGAACGTACGGCATTTTTATGACATATTTTCTAATTTCTGCCAATCTAGATGCTACATTGTTTAAACTGATGTATTGTTAAATATTTTGCTTTGAGTGTACCTAGCATCATATATGGTGCGATTGGATGTGTTTGAGTGCATATTTAAGTAGTAGATTTCTGCATTAAAGTTGGCCAAAGTTGGTAACAAGGAACAGGAAAACAGGTAAGCAGCTTGCCGTCTGCCACTTGCAACTCGCACAGCGAAAAACTCATTAACAAAATTAATTTTTAAGTAATCTAGAATTGAGCGCCAGCCAGCCTAAGTTCCAGTAGCCCCTTCGCCTTCAATATTGCGGGGACCAGTGGGCGCTGACATGCCGCACGTTTTCCGGTTGCCACCCACCTAGCCCTCTCCTGCACCACCCAACCATGCCACCCATTTCCGGTGGCTGCAGCATTTGCCTGCAACTTGGCTAAATTAGCAGCGCAACGATTGCTACGACCACCATTAAAGTTTTGCGACAACGTCGAGAGCATTTGAAGAGGCATTAAAAACAAATTAATTACAGATGTGCGGCAGCAGAAGAAGCAGCAATAAAAACCGAAATAAATAAATTATAAAATCAATAAAAGTGCAATGAGCAGCAGCACGATAATGTGGGGAAGGAAACAAGCGCAAATAGCTTTGATTGATGTTGAAACTTTTATCGGAAAATTGTAAAAGGCAAAGAACTAATTGAGATTTTTACTGGGTGCACTTAAGCAAAATAAGGTAAAAAATAGATTTGAAGTAGTTTAAAGTGAAAGAAATACTTGGGACTATACAGGAATAAATATTTTATATTAAATTAAGCTTGTTTTAAGAGTCCGATCCATTTCGCATTGCAAGGACATCTCTTTTGACTACTTTAGGAAGTTTCTGCAATAAGTTTAAAAGTATTTTTAAGTGCGATCAAATAAAATTTTTTTTTTAACCATTGGTTATAAAAACCATATCATTCTCAGACTTTAACGACTGATTTCTGTATCAATGCTATGTACGTGCACTCGCATAAACAAAATGACAAAATCAATTTCACTTTTTTTCGGGTTGCTGGTTGGAAAAGTTTGCCCATCCAAAAGCCCATACATTACAGCAATGCCATGCTTTATATAGTGCAAAATCAGTAGAAAATTGCAGACGATAAAGTAAGTTAAGGGCGGTGCGAGGGCAGCGTCAAATTGCATTTGAGGAAATAAACAGAAAGTTTTATGGTTGGCGAGTATATACATAGATGCGTACTATATATATGTATATATGCGAAGGGGAAAATGAGACGAAAAAGTCTGATAAAAGGCAGAGGGACATTGCTGAGAATGAAAAGCAGGAGCAGGAGCTGCAGAAGCAGGAGCAGTCAACTTAGAATAGTGCGAGGGAGTCGCCAACCATCGGGATGGGGGAAAAACTGGGTCTGGGATAACTTTGCGCCAACGGAATGACAACATTTTTGCAAAGCTTCATTGTTGTCATTCAGAAACTAATTTGAAAGTAACCAAAACAATTTTAAAGAAATTTCCCACCACACAGCCAGCGAAAGGGACCGAAAGGGAGCCGGATCCGGAGGAGGAGCAAAGTCAGCCGGATGACAGTATAAAGAACGCAAAATTTTATTAACAGCATGCTGGACAAGAATGAAAACAACAAAAGTACAGCTAGGGACAATATATACACTGGGCGATAGAATTTTTAAGAAAATTATAGCTGTCTTTCAGTTATAATAAATACAAGTTTTTAAAAAGTTTGATTAACAAGAAATTACCTAATTAATAGATCTCCATATTGAATGGCTTTGTAATAGTAAAATATATCAATTATCTTTATAAGATTGTTTCGATAAAATAATTTAATTTAAAACAATTTTTTAATAGTTATAATATTATATTCTTTATAACATTTTACATTACAGTAAGTAATTTTCCCTGTGTCGCAAAATCACGGTTGCAGTACGGTTCCTTTAACAACTCTGGCCAAGATATTATGGGGCATGTTGTGCACTCCAAAATGGAACAGGGCAGACTAGCAGATTCCGTAAAGTGGCCAAGTGCCGTGGGTCAACAATTGGCGTCATGACTTTGATTTGTGCATGTGTTCGTTGTCCCCCGCCAGAAAGTAATGCAATAAAACTCTAGTGACGAAGCGCTGATGTCGAAGACCGAACAATGACATACAAATTGTGCTGTGACCGCAGTGAAGGAGGACCTGGAGAAATTTCTGGGGGCCAGAGCTGGGAAAACGCTTTACAAGTGCTCAAAGGAAAAGTGCGAGTGCCAATGGAAATTGTCATCATACTAAAGTTTATTTGCTGCGCACTTTTCTCTTTTGATAAAAAAAAAAAGTAAGTGGCAGAAAACTAGAAAACAGAAACCACGGAAATTTGCCAAATAAACGTTCTGCACTTCTCTCGCCTCAGCAGTTCAGATGATGTATTGCCCGTTCGGCAGATACAAAATAAGTATTCAAACTTTATTTGCTGGCAAAAACATTTCATGCCAATCAATTTTAAGTTGGTTTGCAAATACAACCGAAATCTGAATAATAAACTTTATAAACTAGATTTTAAAAGTATAAAAATAAATCAAATTAAATTTGTATTTAAATAAAAATTCTTTTTTATATTCCATTAAGTCAGGCTCTTAGAATTAATGGAATCTACTTAGTGGGTCACTTGTTGCTTCTTAATTTTCGCAGTTTTAAGGTATGTTTAAGGCAGCTGCGTTTAACTTTATACACCAGTATGATTTGGCTTCTTTGAGCTAAAATGTTCACAGAGAGCGGCCAGCAAAATAAAAGTTTTGTTGAATTTCGTTCATTTGAAGAGTGTTGCAAAGTAATTTGATTAAAAGCCTTGATGAAGTCGGTTCTAGAGAGTTGCTTGTGTGCCCGGGATTTGCATATCTGCTGACTTGGATAAAGGACGAGGTCAGCTTTCATTAGCCCCTAAAAGTATAGCTCGTTCATCAGCAGCATCATCATATCACTTGTGAAAACTTGGCTTGATCTCCTTTGAAACTCGGCGGCGATTCATTTGAACACTATAAGCAAAAACATCGCATATCTGGGGCAAGTCATCCTCTTCCTAGAAATTTTTTCCGCTTGGATAAGATGCGTCAGTGATGCCAAACTATCTTAAGCCTTAAAGAGTTGGTCCTTTAATCTTCCATTTCCAGTTCAAATTTATTTGGATATATATTTGGATACCATTTGTTTGAGGAACTGTTTTTACCTCAATACCTTTTAAGCTGTCATTAATATTAAAATTATTTTATTAAATTAAAAAACGCTTTTTTAGCTTTTTTTTACTACATGAAACCATTCCTATTTTTGACAAAGTGCTCAAATAGATCACTAGAGAGGGAAATATATCCCTTCTTTGTGTTCCCAAAGACAAACTGCAACTATTCTTTTTTCGGCTTTATCCGAGAAATAATCAGCTCTGTTGGAATCCCACTTGAGTGGCACTCACCTGACTAACTGCAATTGTAGACCACTCAAACGATTGAACTCCATGAAAAATCGTATGGCCCACAATAGATAGGAGTCATCGTGACTCGACGAGCCGGCGTTGCGTTCCAGGACCCGACGCACCTGCCTCACCAGTGTGTTGTAAGCGGAGCGCAGCACCTCGATGCAGTACTCGCGCAGGCACAATCTGAAAAAGCCAGGAAAACGTACGAAAAAATGTGAGAAAAATCCAAAAGCTAAAGGAAGGGAGGCAGACATGAAAAATGGTTATACCACAATAATATTGATTGAAAGCGAACGCCCTCTATCAGTTTATATAACAAATGCGGACGCTGCAACGGCATTTGGCAGCGCTGATGCAATAAATTTTGGCCTGGCCAATTTATTTGTGCAAAGCTGGCTAAAAGATGCAGCCAACCATCCAACCACCCATCCCCAATCCTTCCGAGCGGAGGAGAGCAATCTCTGCCAGCAGGCGAAACACAAATCCAACGCATCGATGCCGACGCGGATTAATTTATGCCAAAAAGGAGGCGAAACAGAAAAAATTGGCATCCCCCTTGTCGGCTTATTGCAACATGCACTTGTGGTTGGCTAACAAATTGTTCGGAGCACGGTGCTCCAACACGTGACATTGATGAACTTTCGCCTTTTCCTGCGCCTACGTGCTTGGGCTTTCTGACTCGGCCATTCGTTTGCGGTCGAATGGGACATTCGGAGTTGTCTAATCACAGCCAGCGGGGTCGCTTCGGTCACATTTGTTCTGCTGCATCAATTTATGGGCGCCCAAAGATTTGGCCAACCGAACTGAGGGCTAAGCATCTTGCCCCATAAACCAGGCCAAACACTGGCCGCCTAACAAGCAAAAATGATGCTAGTCGGTACGAAATCGGTGCGGAAAATGGGAAAAACCTTTTGAGGATTTTACTTGAAAATTGCATGCCTCGCCGGCCAGAGATCCCAAAGTCGATGCCGCTGGCAATGGCGATGCTGAAAATACCGATGCCGATGGCGCCGCCAAGTTGCTGCTGCAGTTTTATCTCTGCTAAGGTTTTTATGCTCGCCGTCACAAATTGAGGAAAACTTCAGGGCTTTCTAGTCGAACTGCTAATGCTCTGAGGGCTGGTGGAAATATTATTATCAAACATTATACGAAAAAAAATATAGATTAAACAAAAATGAATATAACTAAAATAAATTAAAAGTTATTCGCACATTTTAAACACTGATCTACACATTAGCGAAGTTTTACTATTACAAACATTTAATATAGAATTTATGTTTCATACCGTATTAGTTCACACAAAAGCGCAAATTTTTTATGGTGAACATACATTTCAGTACAAAACTTTTTCGCAAAACAGAATGGATTATTTGTGGGCACTCGCCTGCAAGAAGAGTATATTTTTGTGCTACCAAAAAGAAAACGGGGACCGTACCGAATGCATTTACTGTAACTGTTCAAGAAGGCCCGGATAGGGAAGCTCGGCCTGCGGTCGCGGAGGCAGATCCTTTAAGTAGTTTGTTGGTTAGCAGAGAAGCATAAAATAGCTGCACCTGGTGGCCATTAGGGGGAGCGGCGACAGAGGCGTTCGGCGCCAAGATATTGTTTAGCCCGGCCAAGTCAGGCGGAACCTGAGAGCCTGGGCGCCCCTAGCAGCCAATATCGTTTGTGCGATTCTATAAAACAGCAGGAATTACAGGCAGTTGGGACGGCGAACGGGGAACGGGGGACGGGGGGACCGAAAGGGCCAAAAGGAAATGGCTTCATTTATTATTGAATATTATTTTATACGCTCACTCGGTCGCTTGCTCACTCGCTCCGGTTGAATCCCTCGGATACGGCTATTCTGGCAGCGTAAAATCGAAAATCAATGGCCGGGATGTGGCCCCCCAGTCGGTTGGTGGCCATAACCATTCCGATGCTAATGGCCACACCAGCAGCCGCACAATAGGCATCGCCCGCAGGCAAAGTGCAGGAAGTGGCCGCAGACAAATGGATATGGCAGTGGGCTATGACCGCGGGACTCACCTCACGGTGAACGCACTGCGGCGGGTCACCTGCGCCTCCTCCTTGATGTGGCGATGCGAGCGCTTCTGCTGCTCCTTCTCCCGGTCGAAGTCGATCGAAGAGACCCGCTCCAGCGCCTGGTGGCAGATCACGTCCCGATCGGAGACGGACTTCATGTTCCTAATGACGTAGGTTCCGCCGAAGCGGGAATGTCGTCCCGGCGGAGGACGAGCCTGGCGGCGAGCTCGCTCCCGGCGTCGAGCAGCCAGGAGCTCCTGCTGATCCCGCTGCTTCTCGCTGAGACTGCGCTGCAGTGAAGCATCTGCCAGGGATTCAGCACTCTGGATTAACAAACATATATTGGTGAATTTATTAAAAATTTAATAAAAAATCAGAGAGAGATATAGGAATATTATATGCAGATCTTGTGAATTATTAAGTAGGGCTTTTGTGTTTAATAATAATAATTTAATTTGAGATGATATTCTAGGCATAAAGCTGAGTTATGCTTTTACTAACCTTTTCAGCATTAAACGAACTCTTTTGCTATGCGTATGGTTAAATATCATTTACTTAGTGTAATCTTACATTAATTATTTTTTTGACTTGTATATATTTAAACATACATTTTGAGGAGTATTATACCCTCATAATTAAAAAATAACTAATTGGTCATGATTAGTGTTAAATATCCTGCACCTAAAGTTAAATTTTAGGTGTCATTAACCAACCTGTTCCCTGAACAGCAGGCACACGATTTCCAGTCCGTGCAGATGAAACTGCTCCTCATCCGGCGAAGAGATCACAAATAGCACCAGGTCCAGCATTCCAGTTATGTGCAGGGCCCAAATGACCTGATCATGGAGACTGGCATCGTTGTCCGCCCGGCACTCAGCCTCCGGATTCGCTGGCACCTGCAGGACATTCCGCACCAGGACCAGGATGCGCTCAATCAGCAGATTCTGCTCCTCGCTGCGAATTGCAAAGTCCTAAAAGAAGAGAGACAAAGTATGCCATCAGACGTCAGTGTAATAAAATGTTGCTGCAAATCCCAGTGTAAAAATCTAAGCACCAAATCCCGCGAGTCAAGTTAAAATAATCAAATGAAATTAAATTAAATTAAATTGCAAATTTATGTAGCTCGACTGTAAAACGGAAGCCCCGACTCAGGGCAAGACAAGCGATGGGACCACAACAAAGTCAAGTTGAAATCAATTTGAGCAGGGTGTGGGCGATAAGAGGAAATGCCTGTGCGGCCTTCGGGAGGCAAAAAATGTGGGTGGCTGGGTGATTGGGCGGTTGGGGTTCCATGGGCTCAGCAGGACATTACAGTTGCTGCTGTGAGCTTAAAAATAAATACAACTAATGCGGCTTTTGTGCCTACAAGCCAGCTGTGACTCCTCCGCCCGGACATAGACACCAACCCATGTGCCGGGAAAACGGTTCTCCAGACCTCGGGACTCCGAGAGCCCATCTCAAAGGCAAAGTTAATAATGACTTCCGTTTTTGGTTTCCCTACGCAACAACAGCAACAACACCGAGAGACCGGGGAGGCGGCTCATTCAAAACTGAAAGCTTTCCTTCGGATCGGAGAAAGTGGAGGAAAGGGCACGGAGGCTCTCCTCCTCCAGCCTGTCCACTTGGCTGCTCGCCGCGCATACATCAAAGCGTGTAAGTCGGCGCGACGCAAATAAAGAAGTATAGCATAAAAAGTCAGCAACGACTTTACACTCAAGGAAATTTAAACTACAAATAATAGAAGTTTACATTCAATTAAAATTAGACAATAACTAATATTAAGTCGAACCTCGCTGATCCAAAAAGAAAGTAAGGATACAGCTTTGATAATAAATATATTTAAACTTTTAATTTATAGACTTCAAGTAGTATTTAAAGCTAAGAATTTTAATGACACATATATAAGATTTTCTAAACACATACAATATAGAATCAGTCAAACCGAAATTTTAATTCACTTTTAAATAATCACAACAATAAATTTAAAAGTTTCTTGTCAGAAAAGTATTTTTGTAAAGATTTTAGTTTTGTTTAGATTTCAAGCCGATTGATAGTGTTTAATAAAAATATTATCTCAACTCGAAAAAAGAAATACAAACATTTTAAGTCACTACCTAGTTCATAAAAATTTGTCTAATATGAAGTAAAAAATTTTGTTTTACGACTAATATTTGTTTTGCGTGCACCAGCTAGGAGGAGGGGCGGATCCGCCAGAGGCAACGGCGGAAAAATCCTCGTACACATTCATTATCAACGACAACAGCCACACAGCAACAAGAACAAATAGACAGCGCCATATAGAAATTCGCCTGCATTTAACCTAACAAAAAAACAGAAAACCGAGGAAAGCGGCACAAATAGAAGGAAAAGCACTCCCTAAAAAATGGAAATGTAAAGAAATCCTCGGGCGACTCTTTGGCAACGCTGGCAACGCAGCGCTATGAAAATCCTTTGCAATTGCTCCCCGGAGTGTTATGAATGTCGATTCAATCGGCTTTAAATGAATTTATTTCGTTGAGTTGGCCATGGGTTGTGGAGACTAGGAGCTTTGGTGGATGGGCACGCTTTCTCATCTTTGAGATTTACGTTTTTACTTTCCGGTAACCAGGATTTAACTTATGATAATTGTTAGGGACATCTACCCTCTATTTGCTTTGGATTGCTGTCGTTGCCAAAATAGTTGAGCTACACATTTTCAAAAGCTCCTACATAAATTACGAACAAAGCACAAATGATTATTTTTTTATTATACCCGTTACTCGTAGAGTAAAAGGGTATATTGTATTCGTGCAAAAGTATGTAACAGCTAGAAGGAAGCGTTTCCGACACTATAAAGTATATATATTCTTGATCAGGGTCACTAGCCGAGTCGATATAGCCATGTCCGTCTGTCCGTCTGTCTGTCTGTCCGTCTGTCCGTCTGTCCGTCTGTCCGTCCGTATGAACGCTGAGATCTCGGAAACTATAAAAGCTAGAAGATTGGCATTTTGCATGCAGATTCTAGGAGTTCCTACGCAGCGCAAGTTTGTTTCAAAATGGTGCCACGCCCCCTCTGACGCCCACAATCGCTTATATACTATTTTAAAAATTTAAATATTTCGGAAAAGTATCGAAATGTAGAAGAAATTTTTCAAATCGGACCATTCGTTAAAAAGTTATGCGTGATCCAAGTTTCTATCTCCATCTCCTCGACTCCCTTTACCTGAGTAACGGTATTTGATAGTGGGGCACCGTATCTTCTTGTTTTTAATTTTTTTGGGTAAATGCCTGTGGGGCAAATGTGTTTCTTTATACACTAACAAAGTGTTTTATTAATTTTTCGTAAATATTTTCCGTGAAATCATAAATTTATACAAGAATGAAAATCAAAGGAACAATATTTATTAGGGTATTTTGGGTATTGTTTTAGGTAATATTTTTTCTATTTTGTTCAACAATCAATTGAAAGCATTGGAAATACGCAGACTTCCGCCTACACCAACCCTGCACTCACTCTCATCGATTGACAATCATTGTTACTGAGTTTTAGCCTTTGTGGTTTCGACAATGTCCTAGACTCGCCGATGTTTGTTCAATTCTATTCGTTTTTTTCTAGTTTTTTGGCAACATGGTGCCGACATGACTCTGTGGATTCGTCTGGGCCGCAATGAAATTCCTGCGTCCAACTGTGCCGCGTTTGATTTGAAGGTGCCTTGTAGTCATTGGCACCAAAGGGAAACCTCCAACTGTTCATGGGTGTTTATTAAATCGACTTGTTGCGGCCTTTTTTCCATGAATGTCGGGAAAGTAAAGGGAACCCTTTGGAGATTTGATTTCATTTTGTGAGATATTTTAAATTAAATTCCATTTTCGGAACTTTAGCAGATCAACTTGCGGGAATAAAAGAAAAAAGGGTGCAGGGAACAAATAAAGAAGATAAAAGCGACTAGATATGAAGTTCAAATTAGTTATGAACCCACAAAGGAGACGAGTTCAGTCATAAAGCCAGAATTGGCCAAAACAAACTTCAAGCGGGGATGAGCAATGTGAAAAGCATTTTCTCTTCCCACTAAAACTTGACTTCTGGCAGCTGCAAGGGCCATTAAAACTTTTACGTACCCGCTTGCCCATTAATACATAGATTATAAAGATTACAGGAATAGTTGCGCAAATGCCCAAACGATAATTGCCAGGGCTTTAGAACAGGAGGCCAACCGACTAGGGTGGGTCAATTTATAAGGACGAAAAACAAAAACAAATAGTTAGGGATGAAAGATATTTTGAGTTAATAAATCCTAATACTAAAAAAAAAGAAAAAAAACAGTATGGAGAAGAATCATTATTAAATCTATAAAAGAGGAACTATCAAAATATTGTTCCTAAATTTCAATCATTGGTTTATGAAACTTAAAAGCGAATGATAAATGATACAAGCATTTTTCAAAAAACAAAAATTACTACAAAAATCTTAATAAATAAGCTTTTAATTATAAGGAAGAGAATATTTTGACCTACTAGACTCTAGGGGGTATCTTGAAATAATCATTGATGTTACATCGACCCACCCTAGTGAAGACTAATTAACCACTAGTCTCAAGCCGGCGGCTTTTGAAAATCTATTCACAAACATTTGACAGAACAGCAAAACACGAAATCATCACCAGATTTGGAATTTGGAGGTTCGCCGCAGCGGGATAGGCATATACATATAGCCCAGCTGCCAGCTAAACGCCATGCTGGTACATGGCGAATAGGAACAGCAAGATGATGAAAGTCATGGCGCGCTGGTGGAGCGTGTGGTCCATGAAGGTGCGCCGCATTGGACGACGGGACAGCTGGAGGAGCATCTGGGGCGGCAGCGGCTTGATGCGCGGCATCGGCTCCGGCGGATACTCGATGTAGCCGCGCAGGAACATGGCCGCTTCGGGCAGGATGGCTAGTTCCCTGACATATTCGCTGCTCATGAGCAGCCTACGACGATGATCCTCGATGGATTTGCAGCACTTGGTTGGCTCCGTGATCTTTGTCTGGCGGATGGTGATGAGGGTGTTCTCCCCGATCCTCGACTGGCAATACGGGCACTTGGCCCGCGACCCCTGTGTGCGAATCCAGTTGCGGATGCACTTCCCGCAGAAGTGGTGGCCACAGAAGCCCACTCTCGGCGAGCGGGCAGTGCGCATGCAGACCAGGCACGTGTAGAAGCTATGCTGATCCTTCAAGAGCTCCCCACTATCGCAACTCTCCTCGCTGGTATCCTTTTGATTGGATTTGTCTGCCACTTGACGGACTAGTGCCATGATTCACTACGTCTCTAGTCACAGAATGAATTGGGATATACTTGTGTATCAACTAGTACTCACTATTTCCAGGGCCTGCTTGAGTTTCTCGAAGAGGGAGTTCCATACTTTGTCCCTTGCAAAGGCTGCTTTGTAGCCCTGCAATATGTCAATGAGCTCCATGAACACCTTCCTGCCGTGATTGTCCTTGGGAGCACCGTCCCTGTAGAGCAGCAGAGTGGGGTTGGTCAGGATGACCAGTAGGCGGATGAGCAAGTCGGACAGCTCCTCGTGGTGCACATAGTCCGGTAGCATGTAAACCAAGTCCGTCTGGAGCACCTTGGACCTTCCCAAATGGCGGCGATATTCGTGGTTGTCCAGATCCCGACGCAGTATCCAAATCAGGTGCTGAAAACCCAGTAAAATGTTACATTTGTGATGATTTTGGGTCGTTAATTAATGAAATACCTTAAGACTTTCGGCGGCATCGGGTTCTGCCTGATATTTCTGGCCATCACTGTAGCCCAAGGCCGCACATGTGGCATCTATGTCCGCCAGCAGAACCGACATCTCGAAATGCACTTATCACTTGTGAATAACAATCAATTTAATTGCGAAATAAACAAAACAAATTTTCACAATGTTTCAGCATGAAAATGCGCGCGAAATAAAAGCAGCTGTTTGCAACAGCTGAGTGATCGATTAAAGGTGCAGCACCCCACTAAACTCTAGCACTGACTCAGTTCCTTTCAGCGAAGACACAAATCGATAACTTAGATCTACAATTTTCCTATTGTATGTTATCGGTCGTTTATGATCGTAGATTTTAGTACATTTTCAAAATCAATTTTAAACTTATTCAGTTTTCGCTATAAAAGAATAAGGTAACGTAAGCATTATATATAAGGTGGACAACAAATTCCAAAAAAAAAATTACAAATCGCCATTTTACACTTTTTTTAACCAGTAACATTATTTTAACAAAAGTTTGCTTACCAATTATTGTTATTTGAAGCAGAGTTTTCGCAGTCAACTAAATCTCTCTTACTTGACTGTCATAACTATTTTCAACAACTACACTTTCAACATCTTATAAAAAATGCATAAAAAATTAGAATAATGAAGAAAAAAAGCTGTTGCTTTTGCTTTAGGATTTTTCGGAGTCACCAAAATCTCTTTTAATTGAATGGCATAACTATTTTCAACTACTACACTTTAAACATCTTATAAGAAATTTAATATAAATTAAAACACACTAAATAAATGCGGTTATTTCTTCTTAAATGTTTTCTTTGCGCAAATAATCCATATGTGCATTTGCATAAAACCAATTCCCAATGCGAACTCTCATTCGTTTCCATTTTAAATCGATTTAAATCGAAATTATTTGCTTGCATAAGATGCACACCCACGCAGAGCAATTTATTTGGAGAGCGGGAGATAAGATCCTTCAAGGAAGCAGAAGGAAAGTGCCTTTTCTGTGTGCTTGTCTCCCAGTGCGGTAAATTTAAATCTTTTCACCATTTTCATTAGTCATTGGAGCAGGAAATTGCCGAGGCCAGACCATGTGAGTCATGCAAATAGCCTTGGTCAGAACTGGTCGGGATGCAGCCGCTCTAATCACCCGGACACATTAAAAACCAAAGGCAAAAGAAAAGGCGAAATTAAAAGCAAACATCGAGGCTGCCGTCCAGGATGTATTTACCTATGATATGAACAAATACGCCGGCAAACTTTTCCCAGGAAGGATGGAAAACTTGGGGGCGGTACCTGCTCGCCCTGCAGCGCTTCACTTGCTCTCTTGCCTCCGCTGTCATTTCCCTCGGCCGAAGAAGTTGAATTTAATTAACTAAGTAAATGCCCAGACATGGGCCCGCTTTGCTTATTTATCAAACTTCTCAGGACGACGATGACGGGCAACTAAAACACGGGGAGAAATATAACTCATAAGAACTTACCAGTCAAGAAGGTCGTATGTTATTTATTTTAAATCTATTCAACATTTTAATTGATACTACCTTTGTAGATTTATTGGTATAAAAGTATAAGATTTATTGGTATCTTGAAAGCTATAACGATCATAGCACCTTTTGTTTTTCTGCTTGGCACCAGACTCTATTAAAGAGCATTTCTAAAATAGTTAAATGGAAACGAAACTAAAAAATGATTTAAAATTAATTATTATTATACATAGTTTTTCATTTATTATGTTTAATTTTTTGTGAACTCATTACTTACTTTATAAATCAATCAAAATGGGAAACTGGAAATAAATTAACAAAAAGGTATAGTTTTAAACAAGAAAAAATTTCTAGAATAACAGCTTTTAAACAAGAAATCACTTTCCAATGTACGTAACAATATTCCTCAGTGTAGGACTTCGGCCAACTACAACAACTTGCTGACCAAATAAGCAGAGCACGTCAAAGCGCCCAAGTTGGCAGGAGTGCTCCAGGGATCGCTCGGCTCACTGACTGAATGACTGAATGGCTGACTGACGGACTGGGCGAAGGACACTATGCAAACCTGATTATAATGTGTCAAATCCATTATGTGCTGTCAGGCTTTTAGGCACAAAAAGCGCTCCCCTTCCCCTGAATCATGACTTTCTGGGGGTCGGCGAACGAATGTCTCAACTTTTGAGGCAACTTTGGCCCCGTCAGGTTTTGCTGGCCAGACAAAGTTAATTATAATTCCAGGCCGTAGTTAAGCTGTCGAGTGCCGCAGGCCCAATTAAATGCATCGCCACAGTGCACACAATCGATTGTCGGCACGTCCAGATTTCTATAGCCCGATTTACTTGCTGATTTGATTTTAAATGAAATTATTACATTCCTTTTTTAATGACTTCACCTACAGAATTTAAATAAATTTAGTGGGAACTTAAGCGTTATCAAAATTATCATTATTTTGAAAATAGTGCAAGGATATAATATAAATTAAAGATTAAAAGCCATATAAGCTCCTTAAGCGGTAAACAAGAAAATTTTTGAAATCGATATCTGCTTTTTTATCTAAATCAGAAACATATTAATAAAACGAATGATTTTTATACCCTTGCAGAGGGTATTATAATTTCAGTCAAAAGTTTGAAACACAGTGAGGGGCACATTTTCGACCCCATAAAGTATATATATTTTTGATCAGCATTACCATCGAAATCGAACAATATAATATTTTTGTAACAGCTTTAAAGGTATTTAAACTTCGGATTTTGATTTATTTTTAGCCGAATACATTAATTGAAGCGCCCATTTGAAAAAATACGATCAAACAAACGTTAATTTGTATATATAAGTTAATTTTATGACAGAAAAAAGAATTTATGAGTGTCAAAAATAACTATTTCTTCTACAAATTAATACTATGTAGAATTAACACCAGCTGAAACCAGCTTGTCCAAATAGAGATTTTTTTGGTGTTTGAATTTGTTAAAGTTTAGTATTGCTTTTCTCGTGAAAATACACCGATTCCATTGTGGCGTTTGTTCTTCACAAACTCGCCGTTAAATTGGAAATCAAAGGGGTATTCAGCCATATGTTTCCATGTATATGGAATGGGAGGATGTGCTTGGTATATCCAGAAGCAGCAATAGTTTTCAACCATTTTTCCGGTAAGGTTCTTTTCATCGGAAGCCAGTTTCTTAACTTGACGAGTCCTTCCTTCAATGCGCTTCAGCTGAACAGGACCCAAAATAGCCTTATTTTCACGCACCGTAGTTACTTCCAAAGGGACTTCGAAGTCATCCAGTGCCTCCAGCGGATGAGTGATGTCCGGCAGAAAAAGAAATGCCACTAAAACCAAATTTTACTATTTATATTAGTGCTTAAGCGATGCGAGGAGGAACTATCCTTGCTTACCAACAACTAGAAAGCATTTCTTCATATTGAACGACTATTAAAGGCGAAATATTTACTGGTAATAAATAGGTCGTTGAATAGAAAAACAGCTTTACGATTGTACATTTGGGCGTTAAATTATAATTATTTTATTAGACACACTTATGCCATGTACAATAAATAAAACTTACATTTTCAGTATTATTTTAATAGTAGAGCCCTAACAGCTACTAAGAAGAAATTAACATACTATTTTATTTTATTAAATATTAAACAAAATAATTTTGTAAGCATTTAACAAAGAATTTAAAAGAGATAAAATTAAATTTAAAATCAAAATCTATTATCTTTAAAATGATTATATTTACTGACCAATGTAAGACTATCGAGAATTTCCTGAAACTGATTTATTTATATTTTTTTTATTCACCCTTGCGAATGAACTCAAGTCAAAGGCTAACGAGGTGGGGAGAGTGTAAAAGTGTGGAAAAACCATTCTGTCACCAAAAAAAGGTCCACTACGAGCCTTAATTCCCGCGATCGACGTCGCCATTTGGACCTGCTCGTTAGTGGCTCCCAGTTTGCTCCGGGTGAACCATTGTGAGTACTCAGCCGGGCTCGGCAAACAAAATCCGGCCGGAATGGAGGGCCCTGCTGGCCGACTGCAGCCCAAAGGCAACTAAAAGTGCAGCGGAATAACAGCATCTGACAGATGTCAGCTGCCATGTTGGCTTTGCAGCTTGTGGCCGCCATTTTGCCAGCATTTGGGCCACCTCACAACTCGACGCTTCTGCTGGGTCCCACATCCTGTTCCCAGTGGAAGTGCTTCCCGGTACATCCTGGTACCTTTTACCAAGTACCTTTCCGAGGTACAATAAATTTATGTTTTGACTTCCCTTCCCTGCGTCTGTTGAACCAATTCCACAAGCAAATTTTCAATTCTTATATTATTGAACTTTGAAAAGTTAACTAATTGTCATTTTCATTTTCCTTATCTTTGAGTTACAATATTTTTCTTTCTATTAATTTTTTGACCCGTTACTCGTAGAGTAAAAGGTATTATTTCATTTGCATAAGATTTACAGTAGAGGTTTTTTTTATGAAGCTGAGATTAAACTTTAAAAAATTTGCAGATTCTAGGGTTTACGGATGTTTGTTTAAATGATGCCACGCCCCTTTAACGCCCACAATGCTTATATACGATTTTAAAAATTTAAATATTTCGGAAAAGTAAAAATGAGTTTTATTGTGTTTATAACGAATGTAGAAGAAATTTTTCAATGGACCATTCGTTAAGAAGTTATGCGTGATCAAAGTTTCTTTCCCCCCCCCCCCCCCCCCCCCTTTCCAAAGAAAAGAAAGAAGGGGAGGGGGACACCACAAAACTTGTTTAAAATTTATTTAATGGTTTTGATTTTATTTATTTAATAATTTAATAATTATTTTAATGTTATCTTTAAATTTTATTATTCAAAATTTCACATGGACAACACTAAAATAAACTATTTCTAGGTGTTCTCTGAGAATAAGCTACCAAAATATTTATCACAATTTAAAAGACATTTTTTTTATAAAAAGTTTAAATAGATTTATAATAATATAATATATACATAGATTTATATATAATATATTATATTAAAGTGTCTAAATCAAAAACCATTTCACATAATATATTATTATGAATCTATTTAAACTTTTTATTAAAAAAATTAAATGATTTAAATTATGATGAATATTTTGTTAGCTGGTCTTTTACTCAGATACAAGATGATATATGATATATACATTGTGAACTGTACATTTCATGGAAGGCTTTCCCATCACTGACTGTCCCTTTTCCTGGCCAAAATTCAATTGTTTGCACAGCCTTCATCTTGCATTCTGATTGCGTGGCTTAATTGCATAGCAGCCGCGAACTGGGCCAGATTTGGATTTGGTTTTGTGTTCGGCCGAAAGGTGAAAGCGAAAGCTGAGTGCGCTTCTATGGAAGTGCGCCAGGACGAAATAAAATTACCGCCAGGCCACAAGGAAAACAGACCCGAGCTGCGTGTGGCTTCCTTTTCATCCTCTCGAAACAAAGCAAACGGGGCAACAAGAAAAAAAGCTGGGAACAAAGCGGAGAAAACAATTTCCAAACAAATAAAACTCACACCTGAGACTACTGGTGGCCCCGCAAGTGTTCTGGTCAGTCGGTTTCGGTCTCACAGCGGTTGCCCCGGGCGAAAATGAATTGTTGTAAATCAATTTGTACCAGACCAGCACGACAACAACAGTGCGCAATTACATGGGCATTTTTCAATCTGAATGACGGAAAATGAGAGTACTCTAACCATTTGCTTTGATGGCCTACGATTTGTTTAAAAAGTATTCCGCTCAAAAAAAGTTCACAGACAATTGGAACGCATACTTTTCGTGGATGTCGAAAAATGTAATTATTGCCAATAATGATTGTTGTTGTTGAATTGTCGTTAAAACTCAAATTAAATTTTCATTTTTTATCGGTTGTGTTTAGTAAAAACATCTTTAATTCAAACAGTAAGTGAATATTATACATATAATAGATTAAAAGTGTATTAGTAGTAGTCGTTTCTTTTTATCGATAACTTAATATATTTTTTATTAAACTAAGTTGTCTTAGGAATGTCAAATTCAACTATTTATACGCAAGTCAAATTGTAACTATTTAATAGTGTTTTTAAATTTTGCTTACCGAAGTGTGTTCTCAATATCAATCATATTAAAGAGTATTATTAAATAGGTGTCAACCAATGTACTATTCCCCACAATTGCAGGGCATTCAGGCGGAGTGCATATCCACCGCAGAAGTGTCACGAGATGAAAGCGAAAGTGCTGCAAAGGCAGCCCTAGACTATATATGTAGTACTCAAGTTAGACCCTCACTTTTCACCCCTGGCCATCGCCCCATAACCGCTGGAAACAAATCAAAGGGAAATTGTAAACGACAAGTTAATCTCGCTTGAAGTATAACCGGAAGCCATTTTATGACCCAATGGACAATAAGGGGAGTTGGAGATCCTCTCGCACAAAGGGAATATGTGGAGCTGCATCCTGCGCACATTTGCACCGAGTCCCACTTAAATAAAACAATTTATTCCGCACATTCGGCTGGATCTGCTGCAAAATGAATTAAAGTTCAATAAAATGCGGAAAAAGGCCGAGCTTTTTGCGGGGAAAAAGGAAAAGGGAAATGTTTCCTTTTCGCCTTGGCTGCGGCTTGTAAGCGTCTTTATCTCTGCCTTTGGCCTTCGATTCTTGGGTATTTTTATTTTCCTTTTCGTATGCCCCCGTTGTTGTGGCAGCGTTTTTCATGATGTTTGCACATTCGCTCCTTGTACCGACCGATTTTGAGTTACAAAGCCAAAATCTCAGCAATCTGGGGCCGGCAACGAAAAGCTGGAATACCTTTTGCATGCTTCATTGGCGTTGCCTTTCTGCTGAGTGAACATCAAATGGGATTTGTCTGCCGGGCTCCGACCGCCGGACATATGTATCTGTATCTGTATCTGTATCGTGTGTGGCTTCCTGTTGCGTAACAAATCAATGGTGTGTTAAGCGCACACCCACGGAACGCCACTGATAGATGGATGTTTATGTGCCGACAGGCAGCCCCATCCCCTAACATGGCCCATTAAAATAAGCCAAGGTTTCGGTTATACGTCCGAATCTCACCTTGGGTGCAAATGTGGCACTGCAGTTTGCGTAGCGTGGACTGCACTTAGGCAAATTAATCCCATCAACGAGATGATTGTTAACCGCAACCGTAAACCCAACTCAAACGGCGGGCATTTGACTTGTGTCCTCGACAAAGAATCCTTTGAGCCCGACTCACACAACATGCGAGGCCGGATGCCTCCCACAGGTGTAAACAGTCAAACAGTCATAAATTGGGTCGAGATTCACCCTTGACTACACTAACAAGAAACTCTTTACGAACTTAACAAAGGAGAAATAAAATTGGATTTTATTCCAAAACTGAAACCCGTTTTAAAACACAGATCTTCTTTTCACATTTTAGGCATTCCGTTTGCCAACAATATAAGCAATTTTTTTATCCCATTTTGATTGTTCCTTTCTTTATTATTGATGATGAGTACCAAATTTTATAAGAGCAATTCAAATTGAGTAACTACATTGAAGATAGTTACAAATAATGTAAATCATTTCTTGCGTAACAACATTTAATACAAAATACATTTTTGTATTTTACGATTTCCTAATGCAAAATATGCCATATATTTAAATTAAAATTAATAAATATTGTTCTTCAATCAAAAACCACGAGTTTATGTGAATAAAAACATACTGTATTGTAGTTAAAACTTAAATAAATATAAAATATATAATAACATGACATAATATATTTTTATTTCTGCGGATTTGACAAAAAAACACATATTGGAACCATTTTAAAACCTTTCAAATTTATTAAAAGATGCTATCTAAAATTTTAAATTATAAATAACTAAAGCATTTAGGTAAATTTAAAAAAAATATTTTTTTAGCTGCGTGACAGATAGTTAAAAGTAGTAAAAGTGAATTGGTCTTCTTTTAAATTTCACAAATTGTAACCTTTTGAATAATTTCTAATTTTAAAGAAGTTGTTTAGAATCATAAAGAAAATCCTTCAATCTGAATGCAGAACAAATTCCGGCATCGCCTAAAATCTGGGAGTTTCTAAATTTTCGTATTTGTGTGGGAATGTATGTGTGCGGATTTTAATCGCATCTTGCCCCTGCCACCACCACTTTCTTGCCCCTTCGATGCCTCCGCCTGTGTATCTTTGTGTACATTTCGTTTTTCCCTGCCATTTATTTGTTTTTTATGTTTTTTGAGCGTCTGCCAGGCGCATAACTCAAAGTGCTTGAGCTTGAGCCCTCGATGCCGTGCAGATAATGATGCTAAAAGTGTCGCATTCGATGGTGGTGGGAGGTAAGAGGAGGGGCGTGGCCTTCTCGGGTTCAGGTAAGCCAATGCCTCACACGTGAAGCAGGCAGGAATAACATATCGAAAAATGAATTTCATTGAGTGGGGGAAAGAGCCTCGGGGCTGGGGAA